AAAAAAAAAAAAAAAAAAAAAAAAAAAAAATAAGGTCCGCTTCTCTTCTCCATCATCTCTGCCTTAGTCTCGACACTCTATCCTGGTCCTCCAACCTCAATCCAGCTGTCCTTTACGGATGCGCCATGCCCAAGTTACCCGCATACCTTAGGTATCTCTGATCTGGTGTTCATCTCTCCCTCTCACTCGCGCTCCTCCCCCCCCGTCACCCCCGTTCCTCGGATGTCTGTTTGGGGATCTTCTGTCGGAACTACCCACCGCCCCTGAAGATTATTCCTCTCTCCCCCCCAAAAAACCACCCACGCTGTTATAGGTACTACTCGCCGCAACCCAATCGCGCACTTGTCCAAGCGTGTGATTTGTCTCGTCTCCCCCCTCCTTTTTGCGTGTCGATCACAGGGTCATCTGCGAGGTGAATTCGGTCTCAGCGCTTTGATTTCCATGCTTCACCATTCTGGACGATAAGGGGAGCAGCAAGCAAGTGCTTGCTGCAGGAGTCGAAACGGAAGGTGTGTCTGCCTGTCGAAGTGTTTCCTTGGCTGCATCAATTCCACCTCCCAGATCCCTTCCCTCTGGCGGTGTCCACTTCCTGTCATCCTCGTTCCCGTTACACCTCGAAACATGGTACATAGGCTAAAAGTTCAATGCTTTGGTATTCCCAGATCTAGGTCCGTCCGCATCTTCCGCCAACTCGGCGCTTTCTCCGCCGGCGCCGCCGCATCCCACAGACCCGTCCAGCCTCCGTGACGATTCACTGCTGACGGTGCCATTGACTTCCTTTTCCGCAACGCCAGGAGCGTCGAGCCGCTCGATCGCTGGATCACCTGGCCGGTCGAACTCCCCCCGAGGCCGCAGCGTCACCCCAATACCCCCGAATACACTCCCGACCCTCTCGAAATACCGTGCCGCCTGGGATTCCTCGACGTCGCCGGAAAACCGAAGGGCCGCCAGTAGCATCTACTACACAACGGCCTGGGGCTCACCGTATGCTGCACCTAGCCCTCGGAGGCTTTCGTGGTCTTTAAGTCAACACGGTGGTGTCGATCGTGGTTCCGGAAATAGCTCTCCGGCCTCGATGCACAGTGGCATACGCCACGGGTCTGAATCGAATAATCCCGAGCTCTTGAGACCGTCTGCCCGAGACAGCTCAGTCAGACAACTGTACAGCGGCAATTCGAGCCGGTCTCCAGCGAGAGACTTTTTTGGCAGGAAAGGGGGCAAGTCAATCAAGGATTTCACACAAGATTGGATCAATCAGTACCTATCCGGTCAACCACGAACTGAGCGAAGCAATTGGTTAAGCGACGATTCGGGCAGCGAGGCCCCATCGTTTATTACGGCGCAGAACTACTTCGCAGAGGACGCATCTGACGATTGGCTCGGCCTCGAACAGGACACCCGAGACGACGACCTGTTAAAGACCCCAACCCTAGCCGACTTCGTAAACCGAAGGACAGCTGGAAGTCGTCGAGAAGGTAGCCTTCCTCGCCAACGGGCCAGGGATTTCCTTCACAAGCGAGCGGATACCCTCCGGCAAGAGGACTTTTGGGGATTCGCCTACGATAAAGATCCGCAGCCAATTACGATGGATTCACACGAGACGCAGTCCCCTGTGGAGCAGGGGTCCAACAAGGCTCTCCCAACAATAGAAAAGCCTCTACCGCCAACCCCAGGAGCTCCTTCGCCTACGGAGCGGGAGAATCCTACCGAGCCCAAAGCCATGAACAGCCAAGCGCTCGATAGGAGTAGCCAGACCCCAGTGCAACGGTTTAGAAAGAAGATCGTTTGGCGTGGGAAAGCATGCTTCATCGCGCTGCCGCTGGAAGACAAGCGAGGCACCGAAGAGTCTGGGCGCCCTCTGCTGACGGTTGAGGATGTGCAAGAACGATTGAAAAACTGGGAGGAACAAGGATATGATACCCGCGGATTCAGCGTCGGCGAGTCAGACGATCTCTTGGACACTGGGCTGGGTGGTCTTAGTCGTCCGTTGTTCCCTGACCCAGCAGAGGTCCAGGAGGATAGACACGCGGGGAGGTATGGCGTCAGCATTCCAGACAAAGCGGAGTGGGATGCATATGTCGCCTATCTACAGGAAGAGAAATTACGCGCCTTGGGCGTGTTCCTGGATGAACCAAAGCCCTCAATTTCTCCTGCATCTGCTGCTATGAGCCAGATGGCCCCCTTCCCTGGCCTTGTCTCGTCGCCCCCGATACCGACAGCATCCGCTGCCAGCAATCCTCTGTCTTTATCTCATCACTTCTCTCCACAATTGGGCCAGCCAGCAAACCCCGCGGGCCTGGGAACCCTGGCTTCTCCCGCTTCACAGTTCAGCATACAAACACCGTTTCTGGGTGTCGACCAAAACTTGCTACCTGGATATCCGATCCAGTTCCAACCTACCCCGCCTGCTCAGGGCTCTCTTACTCCTCAAAGTTTCTTTAACGCGCGCCAAGCAGGCCCCGCTGCATCCATACCTGGCACACTTCCTCACTTGGGCTCGATTCTGTCTCCCGTTTCTCCTTTGAACGAACAGGGTGCTTTCCATCCTGGCTTAAACGAACAACCAGGGCCGTCCAAGGAAACGTTCGGTGACCATGACATGCGGGACAACATCGCTGAAGGCCAGCTGCTACGTCCTTACACTCCCACGGAGGGACCGGATCATTTCCACGCATCTACTGTTGAAATTGCGCAACCTACGCCCCGTGGTCACGACCGTGGCCACAACCTGAGCGAGACGCTCCAGAAGGGACTGGATAGGTTCCCTCCTAGTTATCATTTGGAGGAGACTATCGATAGACAGCTTGACGAGGGTGATCGCGAGCCAGTCCTCCATAACTTTGACGGCTCTGATCTTCTACAATCGCGCTGGGCGTTCCCAGGTAATGACAATCTCGGATCCCAGCAGTTTCCCCAGCACATGCATCAGTTCTACGGTGGAGACTACGCTGCAGACAATGCCCATGAAGGCTCCGATATCGATACTAACCCCAGTCTTTCTGGTACCCCTCAGCGACATGGCCCGCTTGCGAGCAATATCCCTTGGCATGAGCCGAAGCCTAGTGCTGGCTCGTATACTGGCGGACACCGCTCGAAGCTTTCATCCTCTACTCTGAATGTTGATGCAAAGGAGTTCAACCCGACTGGATCGGCGCCTTCACAGAGCTTTCCGTTCCAGGAACCGCCCTTTCAACCCCCAGCTGTTGGAAACCCCATGTTTACCTTTGGTTCCGTACCAAGCTTCAACCCTTCTGCTAATGCCTTTAACCTTACTGCTCCTCCGTTCACACCCAACGCTGCCAACAACCACACCACCCGAAAGGCTGGGTCAGGGGAGTTCAAATTCTCCACCGCCTCTTTCAATGTCGCGGCCCCCGCCTTCAACCCTACTGGCAGTGCTATCACTGCAGAGCCCGAGCAGCCTGCAGGCGCGAGGACAAAGATCTTCGATGACGCCGACGTTTCGGAAGCATCGAAGCTTTCTAAGAAGTCCAAGGCTATTCCCATTGTGCGACCTGATGATCCCAAGGAAGACAAGAGCAGTAAAGAGGATGGTGAGAACGACAATGGCCGCCCGACCCGCACTGATCGTCATAAGCGTGCCCGTCGTGGTGACGAAGCGTCGGATGGCGAGGCTCAGTTCACCATGTCTCATGCTCTGGCAGAGACTGGTAACGCTCAACCATCGCAAGCCCCCAACGCACATCATGTGCCGGCCGAAGGTAAAGAAAACGTGCAACCCGAGGGCGGGGAGAGCAATGAAACAGTTCAGAAGCCGGTCACGATCCAAGACGACAAATTCGCCGAGAGGAAAGAGACCCCGATCAGCGAAGCGTCGACCTGGACACCTTTCGACAAGAAGGAAAGCACGGCAGCAATGCAGGAGTCTAGCCCAGCTGACGACAAACAAGCCGAATCAGAGCAGCTTCCCGCAGAAAGAGAAGATGTTGGTATCATAGAGCAGGAACAGTCTATCGAAGCTGATGCGAAGCCCTCATTCCTGTCCGCCACTGCAAGGCCATTTGAGTTCAAGGCGTCTGTTCCCGAATACGTGCCGGTTGTTGTTGGAGAGTCAACACTTGCACCCAATGCGGCGGATGATAGAAAGAGTGACGTTGCTTCCAACGCTCCAGTCTCACCCAAGCGTGAGCCTGTGCTAGCCGAAGCTGCCCAAACGGATGAGGATTCCCCTGACGACGAAGAGCTCAATGCTATAATGGAACAGTTGAATGACGACTCAGACGTTGGAATAGAGCGGTTGAGCACCCCGCAGCCTCGTGATCGCATCCCGGAGTCTGTCTTACATCCATCTAAAGAAAAGCGCCACATCCCAGCGGATATCAGGAGCGAGGCTCCCAGTCCGAGCCCAGGACGGGGTTTCATGGCCCATGCGCTGGATGTACCTAAACTCGATTTTGAAGCTCGATCACAGTTCTCTGTCTCTCCCTCCAAGGGCGTCGGCTCTGGTATCCACTCCCCCGTGCGGCATTTGGTCAACCAGAATGACCATATCAGTGACTGGGATGATGTGATTTCGTCTGGCGAAGACGAGAAGCTGGCGAATCGGAGCAGGTTCTTTGATCGTCGGATCAACGACCTCGTCGGTTCCGCCATCGATGAACGGCTAACGCCGCTTGAGCGCGCCCTTGGCGTGATTCAAGACTCGGTCATGGCAATTGCACCGGCCCCTCGAACTAAATTGGAATGGAGTGCATCTATCGCGGGTGACAACAGCGATGCCGATGATGAGGAAGATGCATACGAGAATGCATCATACAGCACAAGATCTGTTCTGCGCCAGAAAGAGAAACTCGATAGAATGAAAGCTGTCTTCTTGGAAGCTTTGGCATCCCGAGACAGCGAGCAAAACAAGGACCAGACGAATTCAGAACTTGCACAGCTGCGGGATAGCGTTTCTGCTCTTCAGGCTCTAACCGTGCAGAAGTTGTCGCAGGACCCTGTCGAGGAGTTGAGAGTCATCATCCAAGACTTGGCCTCGAACCAACTGAGCCAGCAGAACTCGCGTCCCTCGGAAGCGGAAGAGATCGGTGCCGAAAGCCTCATGCTCCAAATCGAGGGTCTCAAGAACATGCTGCGGGTCTCCGACGAACGAGCTGAGCAGGAGTACAAGCTTCGGAGAGAAGCCCTAGACTCGGTCGCAGAACTCCAACGCCTTCTGAAGGTCGCGGAGGAAGACGCTGCACGCCACAGCGAGGCTGCAGAGTCCGCTGAAACTCGCTTGCTCCACTTCAAGGCAGAGAAGATCCCTTACTTTGAAAACATCCAACATAAGGCCGATTCGCTTGAGCAAGAGCAAGAAACTCTCAAATTTACTCTCGCTGAACTATCCTCCAAGAACATCGCACTCCAGGGCACCCTTGACGAGTATCGAGTATCGAGTGACAACTGGAAACGGGATAGCGAACAGTCCCGAGCTGAACTTGACACCGTCAGAGCGGAAAACAAGGAGCTACGTGGTACTATTAGCCAGCTCAAGACGCGTCTCGAAGATGGCATGAGTATCCGGCACAATCTCGGCGAGAAGCTAGACCGTCTCCAAGATGAAATGGCGACGGTCACTCGAGACGTCATCCGTGACCAGGCTTCGTACCGCAGACGCGAGGAGGAGTTGAACGCCAAATATAATGAACTACGCGCAGCCTTTAACCGCGAGACGAAGCTCCGTGAAAAGCTCGAATACGACATTAACGAGCTCGAGGCACAGGAGCGCGAGGCAGCCAAGTTGAAGTTCATTTTCGGCCAATCTCAGCAGGAGAATGCAAGACTCGAAGAACTTGTGGCACACCTGCGACTCGAAACCCATGACCTGGAGCTCAAGGCTGCTCGATTTGAACGCGAGTTCAACGAGGCTCGTGAAAGCAGCCGGGTGGAGATTCAGCGCACCAGAAACTCGCTGGAGTCGGATCTGGAGGTCGCCAATAGCCAAGTCAACATTGTCCGTTCTGAACTGGAAACACAGATCCTTCGCCTTCAAAGTCAAATGGACAACGTCAGGCTCGAAAGCGACACGGCCCGGGAGCGCTATGAAATGCTGTTGGAAGAAGCCAATGAGACGAAGGCCAGCACCTTGGCCGCCGCTGTCCAAGCCAAAGAATTGGCTGTGGAGGAGCAGCGCCGGACGCACGAACGTGTACTCAATGACCTTCGGGAGCGCCACGCGCGTGCGCTGCACAATGCTTCTGAAGATAGGCAGCGCACAGAAGCTCATCTGATGGACCGCCTGGCCTTGTCTGATGACAAGGTGAAACACCTTGAGGATCGCGTTCACCACCTTGAAGAGAGGCTTGAAATCGCACAGTCCGCTGCGCGCGCAGCTGCAGAAGCGGCTCAGTCTGCCAAGGCCGCCGTGCCTGCTTTGGTGCCTGCACACTCGAGCTCCCCTTCGATGCCGTTCCGTGAGGGATCGATGATGCCGGAGAAGATTTCGCCTCAGGCTTTGAGGGAATCCATCTTGGTGCTCCAAGACCAGTTGCAACAACGTGAATCTCGCATTGAAGAGCTCGAGCAAGAAGTAGCCGCTATCGACAAGGACGCTCCCAACAAGATCAAGGAGAAGGACACGGAGATCACTTGGTTGCGTGAGCTTCTCGGTGTTCGCATTGATGACCTTCAGGACATCATCACCACCGTGTCGCAGCCTGCTTTTGACCGCAATGCTGTTCGTGATGCGGCCATTCGTCTAAAGGCGAATCTGCAGATGCAGCAACAGGAGAGAGAAAGAGTCCATTCTGGACACAGTTTCCCGAGCCTTCCCTCATTGGCAGACTTGACTGCGTCGCCGCGGTCGTTCCCTCTCGCAGCTGCAGCAGCATGGGGGAACTGGCGCAAGGGAAGAGATAATTCCCACTCTCACCTCTCTGAACAAACGCCATCAAAACCGACCAATGCAAGTTCCTTCCTGTCAGGGCTCTTGACGCCTCCAGCCTCCAGTGTCCGACAGGCCTCACCCCACGCCGGCCCTTCCGCGACAGCAGGATCCCGACGTCCTTCAGAGAGTCGGCCTCTAAGAAATTACAATACGACGCCAAAGGCCGTGCCTGCTCGTGCGAGCAGGATGCGAGAGCCGCCAAGCACTCCCCCTCTGCTCCGTCGATCAAGTTATGATCACGATGCCGAGCCGGCTGATTATGCCCACGACTCCTTTGGAGAGGACGCCGAAAGCACGGCCGACGGCCTAGTCTCTGCATCTCCCCGGGACGCGGCCGACGGGCCATTTGGACCGCAAATACAAGCATAGACTGTCTATACACCATTTCCATTCATGTCCATAGACATTTGAACCCTCCACTTTGTCCCAACCCGTGGATAGCTGGTTATTGTTACATTATGATGCATCCGTACCGCGACCTCTCATTCGATCTTGCATACTTCGTGCGAGCTGACATCTTCATTTGCCGTGTTTAGCTTGAGCAAAGTCATTTCTGTCTCATTTTGTGCTGACGGCAGTGGATTTACGATCTTCTTTCCTTCATTACTTACTATACCATACCATTTTCACCATTTCCTGCGCGTCCTACTGGATACCACCCCTGTTGAATTGTATTTTTGCCGCAATCTGTACACAAGATTTTCTGCTGCTTTTGCTCGTCATTCTTGTTCAAATAATCGACTGCTATTATTTAACAACGTGTCATTCGTTAATGGTTCCCTGCATCCCCGTTACTCTGCATAGTATTATTGTTGTGTTTTACTCTAGGGTGTATGCATGTGCATGTGCATGTGTCACCCTTGCTTTATCTATCCGAACACGCATTTCACCTTCCCCTTGCTGTTGGCTCTTTGGGCTAATAGCATCATGTAGATAATACTCTTATTTCTTAATCGGACATGTCTAATTTAATTGACTCTTTCCTTTTGGTCCTTCGTCATTTAACATACATCCATGCATGATAGATCCCGATATAAAGAGTACGAGTACACTATATCCATGCCACTTGAAGAAAAATAGCATCAGCCCACCCATTTTCCACCTCTAGAAACAATTCCATCCCAAATCAATGAATCCACCACTCCAATACATCCCTCCCCGCCAAAGCACTAACAACATACCCCCCATCCTCAGCCCTTATCACCCGCACCTCCTCCACATCGACCGTCGTGACATCCAACAAGAATGACCACGCTGGGATATCATCCGGAGGAGGGTATTTCCTCTTCGAGCCGGTGTCTGTCCCTGTGCCTGTGTCTGTGTTTGTGTTGTTTTGCAGCTCGGTGGGAGTGGTGGCTCGTGGGACGGGATTGGCATCCGGGTTGGAGTGTTTGTATACGGATGCGTGGTCGATGATACTGTAGACGTAGAGGGCTCCGCCGGAGGCGAAGGGGCTGTGGCCGGCGCCGGGCTCGTAGATCACGAGGAGGGTGTTGTCCGGGGAGAGGGCGAGGAGGGGGGTTGTGGTGTTGGCGGAGGGGAGGTTGGTGGGGTTCCATCTTTGGATTGCGGTTTGGAGGGTCGTGGTTATGTATTCGGTGTCGGTGGTGGGGTGGGGGGTTGGTTGAGGGGAGGTGGAGGTGGAGGAGGAGGGTTTGGAGGTTGGTGTGGAAGGGGGATCGGGATGGTATTGATGGGATGGGAGGAGGCGGGTGAGGGTTACTGTTTGAGGTGAGGTGAGAGAGACGGTGACGAGGCCGATGCAGTAGGCTTTTGTGGTTGGGGATTGGAGGGATGCAGTGAAGTAGTGGGATGAGGAGGATGGGTCTGGTGGTGGTTGGCGTTGGTGAGAGGCAGGTTTGTAGGATGAGGAGAGGAGGCGCAGGCCGCGGAGGACGATCTTTTCTTCTCCGGCGCCGAGGGTGACGGCCATGGAGGCTGAGTCGAGGTAGATGTGGTGGATGTTGTTCCGCCAGTATTGGAGGTCTCGGTGACGTTGGTAGTTGGAGGCGTCGGGTGGGTTGCCCACGTAGCGTACACGAGTCGGCTGGAAAGCGGTTGTTTCATTGCTTATGGCGACACGGAGGAGAGTGTCGTCGTCGGTAAATTCTAGGGACTCGATAACGCCGTTGGTGTCTTCGTAGCCTGCGCCGGTGGGGCTTGCGAGGACGGTGTTGCTCTGGTTGAGTGTGTATTCTGCCGGAGAGGAGATGCCGTCTGCGTCACCGGAAAGACTGTAGATCTGAACTGTCTTGCCCAGTCCGACAGCAACAAGGTGGCCTTGCGAGGAAATGGCGAGGCGGTGTTTTGCGTAGCGCTGGTTGAGTGACATGCAGCCTGTACTACCTCCGTCCATCATAGCGTGGCATACCGAGGTCCAGAGCGGATAGAGCGATGAGGACAAGGAGGACTCCCAGTGGCCGTGCTTGTCTGAACGGCTGTACACTGTGGCTCGTGCTCCTTTCAGAGTCACCAGCTGTTGACCATCAGAAGATGCCGCCAGCACCGTGGTAGGGGTGCAATCCTCAGGCAGGTCACGTCTAGACTCGGTTTTGTCGATGTGCGTCCGGTGGCCTAGCAGGTTCGAACATGCAACTTGGTCGAAGTATATGTTCCACTCTTCATTCGTTAGGAGATCTGTTCGTGGAGGTATTGGCACTGGGGTTTCTTTCAGGGCGCTCCTAAGGATCGAAGATAGCGACGCTGCATTCCGCCATAAACGGCACGCCGACCGTGCAGCGACATAGGTCTCGACGTCAACATAGTCGAGGATACTGTGGACGAGCTCGAGGGGGAGATTCGTAGCCATTGATGGGTTGATTGGAGAGATTGTGTATGGGAATTCACATATTCACCGGATGAGACTTGTCCCACGTGCGGATTCTCGGGATGGTGGACGGCCATTCTTATATGGCATGAAAGGGGCAGTGAGGACGACTTCCATAAGAGACTAGACACATGGCCCGGCAAGGTGAATGATGTGGATCGTCATCCGAGGCCATGACCGTCACCAGGCGCTTCTTGTGCCATGTTGGGAGACCATGCCTCCCCAAGCAGCAGTTGGCGTCATTCGGCCGATGCGCTGGTGGCAGATACCGGATAAGTCAAGAGATGCCGTGTGAATAAAGCCAATTATCGACTCGGCAACAGCCCCATAGGCTGAGACGGGCCGCCGGAACCTGGCAACCGAGCTGGATGGGATTCTTGCTCTTGCGCAACCTTAAGCGGCCGGGAAAGACGGAGGCAAGCTGCCCTGGACGCATCGCATCAGTGGCGTGATGCGTCGGCGGTCTTCCATCGGATGATTCTCGGCGGCAGGCGATCCTACCGCCATGGGGCCTTGTAGGTTGCACCAGTTCCTTGACTGCTGTCGCCCTTTTAACTGCCCATCGGTGAGAACCGGCGATTAACCTTTCCGCTAAATTCTGGAAAATGCAAAAAAAAAAACCTAGAGAGGGCCCTCGCTGCAGGGCTCGAGGCAGATAATATACAAGATAGATGGTGGTTTCGACCGAGCGGAATGACCTAACAACTTACAGTGGAGTGGAGAAACAGGGAACTCCACCCGTACGGTGTAGATATTGTGGACAACATCTGTCTGTCTAAGAGGCGCCAGTGCTGGGTCCGACGGCATCGTTATCCTCGCGGATCATGGCACCGGGAGATATCGGCCGGCGTCAGAAGCTTGTCACACCATGCAGGGATCGTGATGCACGGCCACGGTCTTCCACCGTCTAGAAACCGGACAGCTGTTGTGGGGCCACTTGTCCTTCCCAAAAACGAATAAGATTGGGAGGCGAAACGAGGACCTGATGCAACCCAAAAGTGACCTCAGAGGATGATGTTCTTCTCGCGCTTGTATAGATCCCTGAGGAGCTTCAATTGGTTGACGCTCATGCTTTGACGAGGCAGACTGTTCGGAAGCTCGACGATAGCCTTCCTCATCAGCGCCAGCCCCATATGCCCGAAGAAGCCGACGATTCGCTCGGCGGAGGATTTGAGCATGGCCGACAGAAGAGTGACATGGGTGTCCTGGATCTCCGTCGCCGGGATCGACAGGATCTTGTGCATGGTATACCAAAACATGGTGTTGGGAAAGGGGTTCTGGCGCTTGGTCTTGCCAAAGTTGCGTAGCGTCAGGGCCGCATACCCGGCGCCCAGGGCTGTCATACGGTCAGCATGGGTCTGTTCGCTGACATAGGGCCCATCCGAGCCGCCGTCGCGCCACCAGCCCAGGGCTCGCCGGCCGCCTTCGGTCTTCTCATTGCCATAAAATCCCCACAACGCCGGGCAAACCACACGGTACTTGGCCCACAGGATGTCAACCATGTGGCAGCCCTTGTAGATGAACGCGTCGATGGAAAATATCTGGGCCGCGACGATCCCGACTGGCTCTGCGTGGCCCAGGTTGATGGAGGCTTCCGTGATGAGAGACGAGATCAAGCACTTGGAGAAAATGTTCAAGGCGTAGATCAGAAGGGCGGGCACCTTGTTGTCGTCGGAACTAGCAATACTCTCGGGTGGGAAAGCGAAAAATTGACGCACATCCACCGATGGCTCTGGAATGGAGGCTGCTTTCGTAAGAGTCGCTTGGATTTCTCGAAGCTGTTTGACGGTCGACAAGGTCAGCGCGCATGAATCACCGAATGCAAAGCGCGACACTTACCTGAACTTGGTTGGCCCCGGTACCTTCACGGAGCTGTCCAACGCACTTCTTGATCTTTCGCCGCAAATCACCCATGTTCTCCTTGACGATGGCATTGGTCTTGGCCTCGTTTTTCAGATATTGTCGGAATTTCTTGAGGTGCTGGTGCAATTCGACGTAGCGTGCTTGGACTTTGACTTCCTCTTCCGTTAGACGGCCGCCGCCAACTTGTCGCTGTCGCTCTGCCTGTGCCTTTTGCGCGGCCTCTGCCTGGCGTTGCAACGCCTCCTGTTCTGCCTTCTGCGCCTCCACCTGGCGCTTGCGCTTCTCTTCTTCCACTCGCTCCCGTTCCTTTCTCTCCTGCTCTTCCTGTGCAGCCTTTCTCTTCCTCTCCGCCTCTTCCTCTGCCTTCTTCTTTGCCTCTTCGGCTGCTCGTCGCTCAGCCTCGCGTCGTGCAGCCTCCTCCTGTTCTCGTCGTAACTTTTCGGCTTTTTCTCGCTCTATGCGCTCCGCTTCTTTCCGGGCTGCTTCTTCCCTCCGACGGTTTTCCTCCTCTACCGCTCGTTGATGCGCGCGCAGCGTCTCCTCTGCCTCCTCTAGCACCTGATCATGCAAAGCAGCGGCCTTGTCAAGAGCGGCATTATGCTGAGCTTCACGTTCGCTATCGATCCGATCAAGATTCTCGTAAAAGGACCGGCGTTCGTAGGCCTTGACTTTCTTCAATTCGGTGTTGTGCACTCGGAGCTGTTCAAGGTCCCGCGCTAGGTCCAAGACGAGTTGCCGAGACGGGCTATCCAGCTGGGAGGGGTAGCTCGAGCGACCCATCTCGTTGATTTGCGTATGAATGCCTGGTAATACTAGGGTACTGCAGTATTCATAAAGAGGGACGCGTTTGCACCGAGGGAGTGGCAGTCTTTCCCGTAGATGTATCTCCAAAAATTAATCAACCTTCCGTATATACCATAGCTCTCATCACACGACCTCAAGGTGATTGGGGCTTGTTGCCGCTAAGTGAGCGGAGAGACGAGATTCAAAATGTTTGAAGATGCAGTAGATGCAACTATATCCTATCCACGCGTACAATTGAATTTGGAGTTCGGCTATTGAGGGAGGTAGGTGCCGACTATCTGAGGTCGCATTCCGTGGGATGGAAGGAATGTGTATGAAGCGTAAGTCACGCTGAAAGATCGTTGTTCTGCACTGCACTGCAACAATTGGAGGAACTTCTGTCAGCAATTCCGCGCCTGAGACTAACACGCACTGGAACTAGTTGCATCGGATCTTTAACTTACAACCCGAGAGAAAGTGGAAGAAGAATCACGCGATATGGGCCAGGGCAGCCAAAGACAGGACTGACTGGACAGACAGGGCCCTAGAAAACGATATCAAGCGCCCACGACGGCCGTCGGGTGATGAAGCGAGGGATTGGACTGGGAACCGCCGATTTGGAGGCGATGGCTGTTATGCGATCTTCGAGCGAGGCTCGAACGTTTTGCGGGAAGAACACAGCTCCGATGCTGAGTCAGCCCAGCAGCTCCAGTGGTCTCAATGCGCGCCCGTAAGCCGCCCGAGGCTTGGGGGGCCGGGCTAGACAAACCAGGCAAACAGGCGAAACCAATGGGCCGGAGGGAAGCACCGCTTACCATATTTACGGTACGACGGGGCAGCTACTGCACCAGACCGACCAGCTAAACATGGATCGCTCGGTCACCCGTTCCTCGGTCGGAGGGGGATGGCCTGGAGTCCGGCAGCCCTTTTGCATCATCGTGAACATCATGGGGTGCGCGCCACGACGGGGAAGCTAGGGAAGCCCATCCGAGACCTCGCGTATATTATTCCTGACTGACTAGCGCTCCTCAAGGCTAAGTAGGTCTCAGTGCCTTCCAACTAATCTGTCTCTCACACCCCAACACCTTTTCGCCCACCTCGTCGGCCACCCTTGATACATGGTCTTGTCAGGAGCCCCGCCAAACGCCGGCTGTGGGCCCAATAACGGGCCACTATTGGACCGGTCGCAGGCTCGCAGCATCAGGGAGGGTATCGATACCATTGGATACGTATCACGCCCGCACCAACTGAACCGGTATCTGCTATCTTTACGGAGCAAGAAGAGAGAAGACCGGTGACATCTGCCAGTCCCAGAATTAAGGCCACCAATCCCAGCTGCCTGCATGTCATTTTCCCCTAGTATCGACTACCTAGAAGCTGGAGACGATTCCCCATATTGATTGTGGATACTTGGAGCCACGACATACTGAGAAAAGCATGCAGCAGCTTGCCTCTAAGAGGAAGAAGCGGGCAGTGTGGATATCGAATAGCAGAAAGTTTCGATACAGCGATCGTACCAGATATAGCTCCACGGGTACTTACCGCCTTCTGCCTTCTCCGGAGTTGATCTTCGGCCGTTGAGCACGCAGTTCGTCATCTACAATGCCGAAGGATTGAGGGGTGATCTTCGCAGGGTGAAGGCGTGCCCAACATCAATGCCTCCTACTCCAGGTCTGAGAACCCAAAACAGGCTGATAAAGCGAGAGAAGGCCGATAAAGTGGCATCGCCATCCAGATGACATGCCGAGAGCCAAGATGCAATGAATTCCCCCGAGCCAGACCCTGTTGGTCTCCAAGTATGGTAACTTTGGTTTAGTGACAAGTTAACTGCACCACTTCCTCGGATTCGTCTGCGGCGAGGGTCCTTCTGGGCGGGAGTGCCATTCATCAGCGACGTGAATAGGTCAGTATGATCGGAAATGTGTCCAAATGGGTCAATGACGGTGGGAAGCTCCTGAGAGTCGGCCAGGACTCCGTAGTCGGTCTGGCTGTGTGTGGTCTTCCCTGATGTTCATCGGCCTTTTCCCCCACATCTCTAGGTAGCTGCTATATTATTGTTGTATTAACCTGCGTATTGGTTGAATGCCCTTTTCTCGCTTTAGACCTATTACTTGGGAGGATTATATTAGGTATTTTTTTTTCTGGTCTGAGTATTATTACCCTGCTAGAGCTACTAAGCAAAGTAAGCTACTGGATGCTGCTGCAGTGCTGCTCACCACTACGACGTGCTGCTGCTACTAATAGACTAACTCAACTTCTTTCTCTCCTCCCTCTTCACCTTCACCTCATCCTCTTTCTTCCTTCTTCCTTCCCCTCCCCCTCTTCTCTCTTCTTCTTCCTTGACAGTCCCTCTCCTTTGGATTTTCCCTCCCCTCTTTCCTCCATCGCTCCTGATCATTCCTTCAGGTCGACGATCCCACCTCCCTGTATCATCACCTGGCCTATCTGTCATTCTCTCTCTGTCAGATATCTCTCTGCCTCGTGTCTTTTTTTGGAACTCCCAAACCCAAGAGAATCGTATCAGTACTATCTGGTGGGAGGAACTGTTCTTGTGTTCCCCCCGTGCTTCAACGGTTAAGCGCCAACTCAATAAGCCTTTCAATTCAGGACTGAGTTGCCCCCCCTTTTCTGCTACTGAGGAGACCTCCGTTCTCTTCCGTACCATCAAATCCCACTTCGGTCAAAAGTCCCCATCATTGGAAAATTTGCAAACCAATTCGAAAAAAAATCATTCTTCCCATATTCCAAAGAATATCCCAGCAAGGAAAATTGGAAGGGTAAAAGGTCCCTCCTTTGCCTGAAGCTTGGGGATTCTACGCCGTTGGTCGCTTGACGAATGGCAGTTGGGGTCGACCGACAAGAGCTTCCATCCGCTGACTCGGTGCCTCCCCCCTCCTCTCTCTTCCTCCTCCTAATCTCAGCTTCCCGCCGATTCGTCGAGCTTCGTCCTCTCTTTCGGTCCCTGCTGTCTCCCGGAGGCTGTCTTTCAATTCCCCCCCCCCCCCGCCCGGTGCCCGTTCATCGCAATTTTGCTTTCTGTTTGAATATATTGCCTTGGCTTCTTTGATTTGGGGCTCTTGCAACCCCATCTCTGTGAGACATTCACCGGTCACCGCTGCCTTCGCCTTATAACCGTGGCTATCCCGCTCTGTGCAAAAAGGAGAAGTCCGATAATCAGATCAACTTCAGATCCCTTCTGAGCCGGACGATCGTTAAAAGGTAAGCTCAATTGAAGCCGCGTGCCTCCCACCGCCAATCCTTGCTCGTTTCCTTTGCCGGACTGTCTGTGTTGCCCCCCTCCATTTGTTTCGCTTCCTGCCAGTTGTACCTTGGTTGATGTCACTTTGTATGGGGTAATCGCAGCTTCCGTTGCCCACAATCTTCCCCTCCTCCTTCCCTATGTAACCCCCTGATATTGTGGTTTTCATCCCCATATCTTCCCTATACTCACTGCTCTTCCCTTATCTTCTTCGCGCTTACTGACCTATCGTTCGCCTCCAGTATCCTACAGGTTCACCCCTCGTTGTTTCAGACTGCCTCCGATCGGCCTTCCTCAATCACAACCCACGACGAGTGTGACTTCCGTCATTCCTAACATTCTCTCACCTCCGAGGCGGTCCATTCGTCCTCGTACACTTGACTCTATACCAAAGACCCCGTCGATTCTTTATCTGAGAAGATGGATCAACAGGGACAGTCCGGGGTCCCCGGCCCCGCGGGGCGCAAGCTCCATATTGCCCACAGAAGAAGCCCGTCGGAACTCACTCCCCTCATGAGTATGTGGATTCCAATGTAGCTTCATGCACGGTTCTCTGCGGATAAATGCTGATAGTTGTGGCAACAGTGGAACAGCTGGCAATCCAGCAACAGATCGAGCTTCTTCAGCAGCAACAACAGCAAATCGCAGCTACACATCAGCAGTACGTTAACATGGGATTGTTACAACCACAGCAGCTAGGCCAGGTCTCAGCATTCTCGCCCTCTATTCAGGGCGGTGCTTCCATGGGAGGCGTTTCCCCTCAGTTGAATGCGTTCCAGTTCCCGCAGCTCGCCCAACAGCAGCTCGGTGTGCCTATGAACACCTCGACCCAACACTCGCACCGTCGCAACCAGTCCGCCCTCCCAGGTCTCGGTATGGGTCCCCCTCCGGCCCCGTCCTCGGGAGCTTCGGGCTATTCCGACTATGGCCAACAACAACAGGGTCATCAGCCAAAGAATGAGAATGGAGGTCATGGGCGTGGACGCGGGGGCCCCCCTGGCGGTGGCCACCAGCGGCGCCACTCGCTTGCACTTCCCGAAGCCAAAAAGGCCGCGGAACTCGCTCAGCAGAAGAGAACAGCCTCCGGCTTCCAATTTCCCGCACCTAGTACCCCTGGTGGTGATTCTGACAATACTCCGGGCTCTGACGACAAATCAACCCCCACCTCGATGCAGGCTCCCCAGGGGTTGGGCCTTCACCGCGCAGGTAACATCAGGGCTGGCGGTCATGGTCGGAGTCAGTCAATGGCCGTGGGCGGCAACCGCGGCTCTCTGTCTGGCCGTGGTGCGGGTGGCTTCCAGTTCCCCCAGGCTAGCGACGGCGAGAATCAACGTCGTGGCAGTCAGCCCGGCCACGCGCGGTCTTCATCCAGAAATTTCGACGGCAATTGGCGTCAACCCAACAATCAAGCTCAGAACCAGGATCAGCCGAAGAGCTTTGGTCAGCAGAGCGGTGGTTTCCAGCCTGGCCACCGTGCTCGTGCTTCAATGAACCAGTCCATTGGCTCCATTGGGTCTTTCCAGTACCCGGGACAGCCTCAGCTCATTCAACTACCCCAAGGTCAGGTAGTCATGGCCTCGCCACAGATGTTTGGTGGCAACCAGCAACTCAATCCTCTGCAGCTTGCACAGCTTCAAGCCCTGCAGCAGAATGGGCAGCTGACCGGCCAAGGTCTTGGTCTTCAGGCTAGTCAACATGCCCCGCCGCAGCTGTCTGCCCAGCAGCAGCAGCAGCAACAGCAGCAACGCAAGACCCTCTTCACTCCTTACTTGCCTCAGGCCAACTTGCCTGCGCTGCTGAGTAACGGTCAATTGGTTGCCGGTATTCTCCGTGTGAACAAGAAGAACCGCTCCGATGCCTACGTAACGACTCCCGACTTGGACGCAGATATCTTTATTTGCGGTAGCAAAGACCGTAACCGTGCCCTTGAGGGTGATTATGTTGCCGTTGAACTTCTGGATGTAGACGAGGTGTGGTCGCAGAAGAAAGAAAAGGAGGAGAAGAAGAAGCGCAAGGACATTACGGAGGCTCGTGCTGGCAGCAGCGCCGGGGCGGACAAACTGTCTCGGTCTGACTCCGGCCCCAACGGGGACCGCCAGGAGGTTGGACCTGATGGCAGCATCCGTCGCCGTGGCAGTCTCCGCCAGCGACCAACTCAGAAGAAGAACGACGATGTCGAGGTAGAAGGCCAGAGCCTTCTCTTGGTGGAAGAAGATGAAATCAGTGATGAGCAGAAGCCACTATATGCGGGCCACATTGTGGCTGTTATCGAGCGCATTGCGGGGCAAATGTTCTCGGGAACCCTTGGCCTCCTCCGTCCCAGTAGCCAGGCGACGAAGGAGAAGCAGGAGGCCGAGAGGCTGGCCAGAGATGGTGGCCACGGCCGTCAGCAACAGGACCGCCAGCAGGAAAAGCCTAAGATCGTCTGGTTCAAGCCTACTGACAAGCGTGTTCCTTTGATTGCGATCCCTACCGAACAGGCTCCTCGGGATTTCGTTGAGAAGCACCAGGAGTACGCCAACCGCATCTTTGTTGCCTGCATCAAGCGTTGGCCGATCACTTCCCTGCATCCCTTCGGTACCCTTGTCGAGCAGCTTGGAGAGATGGGCGACTTGAAGGTGGAAACGGAGGCTCTTCTCCGGGATAACAACTTCGGCTCTGACGAGTTCTCTGATGCCGTGCTCAAGAGCATTGGCTGGGAGGACTGGTCCGTTGCCAACGAAAACGAGGCGCTTTTGGCCTCTCGTCGGGACTTCCGTCAGGAGGCCACTTTCACCGTCAACCCTAGCGGTACCAAGGAACTCGACAATGCGTTCCATCTCAAGCCTCTCGCCGATGGAAAAGTGGAGATCGGTATCCACGTTACCGACATTGCCCACTTTGTCAAGGCCAACTCGTTGGTTGACCGCGAGGCTAAGAAGCGGGGCACTGCTGTGTATCTCGTGGACCGCCTGGTGAACATGCTCCCCACACGTGTCTCCACCGAGCTTTGCGCTCTGCTGCCCGGGGAAGACCGTTTCACCGTCAGTGTTGTGTTCAAGGCCAACCCCGAAACAGGCGTCATCGACGACGATGTCTGGATCGGTAAGGCCATGATCAAGAGTTCTGGTAGACTCAGCTACGAGGAGGTTGATGCCGCAATCCAGGGCACGTCTGCCCTCGCTGTTCCCGGAGTCTCTGCCGACACAGTCAGGGCTTTGTACGCTATTACGTCGAAGTTCAGGGAAGCCAGACTCGGCAACCGGGTCTCCAACATTCCCCCTCTTCGTCTGTTGTATCAACTGGATGACGAGAATGTGCCTGTTGAGTATAACATCTTCAACTCATCTCCGGTCCGGGAACTTGTGGAGGAGCTAAGCTACAAGGCCAACTTCCTGGTAGCTCGCACATTGGTTACTGCCCTGCCGGAGAAGGCCTTCTTGCGTCGCCAGATGTCGCCAAACGCTCGCCGCCTTCACCTCTTCGTTGAACGTATGAACAGACTTGGCTATGGCCTGGATCTGACTAGCAGTGGAACCTTGCAGAGCAGCCTCTGCCAAGTTCAGGACGACGATTTGCGCAAGGTCAGTCTTAGATCTTAATCACAAAAGCCAGGCTAGTGTTCCCCTTAACTAACAATGATCACAGGGCATGGAAACGGTTCTTCACAAAGCCATGCAACGTGCGAAGTACTTTGTGGCTGGCAGCGTGCAGGATGATCAGCGTCAGCACTACACCCTGAACTTGCCTGTTTACACTCATTTCACGAACCCCTTCCGCCGGTATGCAGACATTGTCGTCCATCGCCAGCTGGAAGCCGTTCTGTCGAACGGTGCAGTTGAGTTCTCGGATGACTTGGAGTCGTTGACCAAGACCGCCGATCTCTGTAACAACAAGAAGGATTCTGCCCACAATGCTCAGGAGCAGAGTGTCCATATTGAAGCCTGCAGAAATATGGATAAGGAGCGACAGGAACTTGGTGGTGACCTCATCAGCGAGGGTATTGTGATCTGTGTTTATGAATCCGCCTTTGACGTCTTGATCCCAGAATACGGCTTCGAGAAGCGTGTCCACTGCGATCAATTGCCCTTGAAGAAGGCTGAGTATCGCAAGGACTCGCGTGTGCTGGAGCTTTACTGGGAGAAGGGTGTGCCGTCCTCGGCTTATATTCCTGAGGATGAACGGCCGAAGCCCGGCAACTCCCGTGCGGCTCAAGCTGCTGCGGCTGCACGCGAAGCAGAAGCTGCCAGAGAACGTGCCCGTGAGCGCGAAGAAGCCATGCGGAGACAGACAGAGACCAGCACTATGTCCGCTGACGATGCGAATGCTCTGTTTGATGACGATGATGACGATGTCTCCGAAGTTACTGAGATGGCTGCGGGCGTCTCATTGAATTCGTCTGCTGACCGCTCAACTCAGAGCATGCCACCTTCGCCCACTCGCAATGGCCATCTTCAACAGGCTCCTCACCGGACGCGCTCTGACCCGAAGATCGCAACGCTCAGCGGTGATGCTCCCGAAGCTAAGTTGACGAACAAGGAGAAGTACCTGCGGTTGTTCAAGCTCAGGGAAGAGGATGGAGAATACATCCAGGATGTCACCGAAATGACCCGTGTCCCTATCATCTTGAAGACTGACTTGAGCAAGAGCCCTCCGTAAGTGCTCCATTTCACCGACCATGTGAATTCTTACAGCTAACGTGTGCTCGCAGGTGCCTCACTATTCGCTCGGTCAACCCCTATGCTCTGTAAACGGACCAAAAACGAATTCACTTCTTCGGATGTGTTCTATATGTTTGCGCTATGGATTTTGGTCTTTGCTTGGTGGATCATCAGGGTGGTCGTATGATGGTGAACTTGCAGCTCGATTCTATCCATTATCGCCACTGGTTCCCGCATGCATACCAGCCAGCCTCTCCTTTGCAGTAATATTGCTTTAATCAGCTTAGCGTGTTGTTCTTGATTTTATAATTGCTGGGGACCTCGCAGAGCAAACAGTGGATCTCTTGTTCCGAATTATTTCCAGATCAGTCTTGCAATACGGTTGCAAGAAGACCAATTGTGGAGTACACTGATCTTCTCACCAGACGTCTGGATTTGAGGCCCAGTGATTCGGGGAGGATGAGTCGGGGGGACTCGGGAATGAGATGATACGAGATGTGGTTTCATCGCTTGTACTGATGGGAAGTCGGTTACGAGGGGTACCTTGGGAAAATTTGTCTATCCATTCTAGCTAGATATTTGCATAGCTTATTATCAATAGGTTGTTTCGGATAACCTTCCTCTTGACTTGTAGAAGCAACTACTCCGTAGGTCAATCCAGATTCAGAATCACAGCTCAACCACGGCAGTTTAGTCTTGAGGCTTAAAATACTACCATCAAGTATCGCTAGTACGCAATCTGCTACTTGGCAGTCCCTGCCGAATCATACATCAACGGCCCAACGGGTCACCTTATACTAACGCACTTACAAAGCGAATCACATCACACAATCATGTCATAATAATAGATGCAATGAATGTCTACCTACTCCGTATTGCTAGATGCAATTCATGCATGAAACGAATCCAAGCCAACCAACCGGACATAAGTGAGTGGCAATGGACCAGTACCAACCAGTACACCGTGGGGTATGCAAGAGAGCTAGCTATGCCTGAAAAGATAAAGAAAAAGAGACCCCCTCCGTGTCCATAATGATATCCATATCCATCCATTTTCGTTTCGCACGAGAACGCCGAACTAAATGTTGAGAAGTGAATGTCTCGGGGGCATAATGAGAGTCTGCGGGTGCAGCTGGGGTATTAAATGTGGTTGTGGGGAGATGTGGGATGTGAGGGGCAGGATAGGTAATTGAGAAGTAGACGGGTAAATATGTACCGCGAATGAGGGAATAGGTGGGTAGACTTTCACAGTCTGCGGATGCCGATTCGAGGCTTGGCCTTTTTGCCATTTGGCGCTGAGACTTTTCGCGAGCCCATTACCGGTCTTGATAACCTCGAGCCAGATGGGGCTGATGTGGATGCGGATGGAGTGAGAATGGTGGGAGGATTGCTGGGATGAAACATGGTTATTGCTGGGTCGTTATCTTTCAGTCCGTTGAGGGCTCGAGGGTTCTCTTTGCCGTCACCGCTGGCTCGACGCACAAAGGCAAGATCCGCAGGGTCGGGATCGTCTTCGAAGATCTGGACATCTTCGCGTATCCGACCCGACGAGTTGATGCCTTTGTCGAGGACGGAAAGCTTAGGTGACTTCCTCTGCGGAGAGTGGCTGCGGTCAGGGATGTCGCTGGGGTAGTTCGCTGCGATATTCTTCTCGGATGCGGACATGCCATCCACGGTCATGTCTTCTGTGTCCATAGCAAATGGGTCGTCCAGGTCCATTGGCAGTGCCAGCACAGATAGCGGTCGTTTGCCGAAGGCGTTTTTGCGAATGTGAGGTAAGGCAAGTCGTACCGGGGAGGGCGATAGAGAAGGGTCGTTTTCTTTACTGGCGTTGGTGGAGGTTTCTGATTCATCGTCGGAGGCAGTCGTGTCAAGGGTATCGTGAAGTTCTTCGGGTTCCTGCTCCTGGTATTCAATGGGTGTAGAGGGTTGATGAGAAAATGCTCGAGAGCTCGAGCTCTCTTCGCCACTGTTCCGGGTGATTCGCTTCTTCATTGTAACAGAGGCAATCCTGGTCCCCTTCCGTGGTCGTAAGGAGCGAGACTCCTCTTGTTCTGCTGGAATGACTGCTCCGGCATCTTCGCCTCTCGTTTTCGCCTCGGATACTGCTGAGGCTAGCTCTGGTGGGACAGGGGCGTGGATGGAGGTCATCAATTTTGCTTGACGAGCAAACGCATCGTAGTTTTCTTGGAGCAGTGCGCCGGCTGCACAGTTCAAGGCGGAGTCGGGATTAGGATAAATCAGGAGGCAGGAGATGGTCTAGATTGCGTTCACTGTCAGATTATGCCCCAGTCTATTGTGTGTTCTGCACGCTAGGAACGGAATACATACGATCAAGACATCCTTCAAGGTCAACGTGGACTTCCAGTCTCGCTTCAAGGTATCCACGCAGACCGCTCCTGTCGACTCCTCCACATTTGGATGCCATATGCGAGTCCGGAAAGTCGCCTTCGGCGGGCTCTTGGGATAATCCTCCGGCATTTTCAAGTGTAACCGCCATAGACCCTGCGAGTATGGCGTACCCTGGGGCCCGGCCAGGAGAGTGGTGAGCTGGGTGAGGTCGTCCCCTGTGGAGGCCTCGTCGGAGGGAAAGATGTAATTGGGAGGAAGTTCTTCATGCAAAGCGGCATGGTCCGCTGCGAGACGTCGTAGAGATGACACCTATCGGACGATACCGTGACATTTAGCGATCGTCGATCAAGACAAAGGGAAAATCAATTGACATCGGGTACCAATAAACTCACCATACTTGCGTCTCCCCAGCGATGTCGACCTCAATTTCGAGGCCGAATGGGTCTAAAGATGAAAGCAAAGTCCGTCTGAATTCAAGGGTTGCACTGTCTCTGATTGTCCGACGGCCCCTGTCGATCCCAGCAAGTGACACAAGCGAAAAATCCGTTTGTGGAGATGGTTCAATGGCAGTAAGGTGTGCAGACGATGGCTCGGTCCCGACCCGTTGCCCCCGACGGCCCTGTTGCCCGCTCTTTGTTTTGATGATGTTGAACTGGCCGCCCTAGCCCCGATTGGGATCCCAAACAACGCGCGCGGTTGCGGTCACGTGGATTTCGCGTCGCTTGCACGCGTTTTAGGAAATGTAATTGATTACGGCGGACTCGGTACTTCACCGGCCGGGAGTGAGACCTGTCAGATGTCACTCCCCAATATCTGGGGTCCTCGAGAACTCTGGGAACAACAAACGGCGCCTGTACGACTCAGGGGTGCCCCCATTAACGTTCAAAGCCCCGTAGTCAAATCCACACTTCTCCCATGTGATGGAACGGAGCAGTGACACGACTATGTATCTACACTCTATAAATGAATAAGTGAATGAGCTTCAAGTGAAGGTGGGCTCTCGAATCCTAGTATTTACCATGTCCTCATTAAGCGATTAAAAATTACTAAGAAAAGAACTCGTATGTGCGCCGCATTATGCCTCTTTGTGAACAAGCGGTGAACGTTGAAAGGAAGAACAGAAAAGAAAATCCTTCCCAGCAATGTTACATATGTCAGAAGAAAACTGTAAAAGATCCATCCCCTTCATATCATCGCACCACGCTTCCTGCAGCCCACCAGGGAAAGTTCGATCGCCATGGGTATCAATATTCCCAGGACACTGGGGTTCGAGACGGTCGAGACTCAACTCCATCGAGGAGCAGGGAGGAAAGTCGCCCTTTCCGTTTACAGGAAAGCGGCGAGAGCAGCACCAGCCACGACGGACAGACCGACGGGGCCGGCGGTGGCGAGAGGGACACCAGCACCAGAGGAAGTGCTAGTGCTGGAGGAGCTTCTGCTCGAGGAGTCGCTGGTTGAGGTGGAAGAGTCGGAGCTAGAAGTCTTGGTGGAGGACTTGGTGGAAACGGTGGCAGAGGCGCTCTTCGACTTCACGAGGGAAGAAGGAACCCCGCTGGATCCAACCAGGATGCTGGAGGCTCCCGCAGGCAGGGATCCCTGGGTGGGGATGACGGGAGAGGAGGTGACAGCAGCGGAGGGCTGGCCCTGGGGCTATACTTGGGTCAGCATGGTACTCTTAGGCAGCGTTCAGGAGTATATCCAGGGTTGTGCTTACCACCGCAACGGAGGACTGAGCAGCGGCGAGGGCCGAGAAAGCAACGAGGAGGATGGAGGAACGCATCTTGCTAGCGAGTGGTAGTCTAGATCTGGAGGATCGGATAGATTGGGTGGATCGTTGCGGAGGCGATCGGTAGACTAGCGAGTGTCTTCAAGAGCGAGAGGATGAAGCGAAGGTAGAGGTTCGTGGAACGACCGTGGGGGTTGCTTTATATGACTTGGGCTAGGGAAAGGGACGCAGAGATGACAGGCGCAGGGGCAGCCTTTAAATAGAGTCAGGGTAGGGGAAAAAAGCAAGCGCAGCAGCAGCAGCAGCAGCAGCAGCGGTGCCATCCATCCCTCTCCATCAGCCCTGTCTGCAGCTGCTCCTCCCTCGTCCTAGTGGCAATGGAGGGAGGGATCCACCGGACAAAGGGCAACATCAGCAGGCCGGGACCGCGGGCCTGCATTATTGGGCCAAAGTGAGAATCTGAGTCGCTGCCCGTGGCTGAGAGGCGGGCCGGCAAGAACTCAGCGTGCAAGGCGATGCTGGAGAGTGGCAGCCAAGGCCCGGCATCAAACCACCAGAGTCGTACTAAGCTCGCCCGAGACGGGACAATGGCCGGTGAGTCAGCATTCTAAAGGCCTCCTCCGCAAGAGGTTTGCGTATGCTTCTGCTATTTTTGGTGGCCATCGGAGCACAGCGTCAGCGGCCGCGCTCCACTCCGGTGCGGGCGCCCCGCCAATGATGGTCCTGATCCTATAGATCTGCTGCTGGGTTGCGAATCATCTTGAAGGTAACCAACCGGCCGGGGACTGCGCGGGAGAAAATGAAATTTCCCTCTTTCATCTTCTTTCCACTTGGGTCCGGATAGCCCACTGATCCATAACTACGATGCAATTTCCTCGAGACTCGCCTCTACATTACTACACGCCTGGCATGCGCAGCCGAGAGACCTTCAATCCAACGGAGGAAGCATGCCGGCCACCGCATGAATCCCTGGTCTTGCCCAGCCACGCATTCAAAGCTTGTCATACGAGGTACGTCCGACCAGTCTAGCCTCCCATGGCCATCGTCGCAAGCCACCCGAGGGGTCACTGACGGGTTCGACCGACCGGTCGCCTTGGGGGGGTGAGAGAATTGCAGTCACGAGCCACGGCAATAGTCTCTTCTACTGCCACATCCTGTTGTCCACGTAACAAAACCACGGCGACGCATCATCCTGCTAACCCTCGCACTGGCTCTTGACGTAAGATCATGACGAGCCCTCGACACCACCACACACCAGAACGTGATTCGGTTCCTGCAGTCGTATGCTCGTAGTCATCCAAATGGTTTCTCGGCGTGCCAATCCTCAATAATAGCCGATCCGGAAAAAATATTAATCTGAACCATAAACCGATCATCGATGTGGATTGGACTGGCAGATGCCAAGAGGGTAGTTGCTGCTGGCCATATTGTGTAGTACCGACAGGATGAGACTGGAAGCGTACGTATGCAAAACTGGAGGTGCATGGACGTGTCGATCAACCAACCCTCGCACTTTTTAAGACAGTGCGCACCGGCCAGACCAGTCCACCCGTAAGGTACAGGGTATCAGGGGTCTCAAATCTCCGGCCCAGGGTCGGACACGGGCATTTCGCCTAATTGCCACTCGAGTAATGCAAGGGAAAGGACGAGGTCATGAACAATGAATGAATCGGTTTCCCCCTCAGACATAGATAGTTAAAAGGGATGATGATAATGCATGGCAGGGGACAAAGGGTGATGGATGAAGGCGGGCCAAGATTCCAGAGACGAGAGAAGCGGGTTCTCGCCGACCCTGCCAATCCAACCCCTCCCGCCCTTGTCTCAACTCGCTGCTTCCCGTCGCCCGTTGAAGGATGCTGAGAATCGGAGACCCTCCCAGGCCGCTGGTGGGGGGCGCCACCAAATTGAGCAATTAATCACGAAGCCAAAAGATCAATGGACAACGCCAGCCCTGAACTGCCATGTATCTGGTGTATACCAATGGGGTACGTACATAAACGGCAACATGGCACGGAGTATTCATCGTGAAGGCAGGCTGGGAAAGACCTGTCCCGCTGGCGGGCTGGTTGGTTACGTTGCTTTTCCTCATTATTGACGATTATTGCCCACCGATCCCATCGCCTAGACCCAGCCCGAAGCACAGATTGGAATTGCTTGCACTGCACTGGATCTCGATCCCCACTTAGGGCACCCATCATCCATTCACTTCCATCGCCATTTGATAGTGTCGCTTTATATTTACCGCATTGCTTTTTCGCCCAACCCCGACACCTCTCGGGGACCCGTCCTTACCCTGTCATCGTGATATGTCTTAGACCCAGGGGGCCTGACTTGTTGTCTTGCTTCGACGTGCGCTTGTTTCTCTTCCAGTCACGTCTCACGGCCGGATCCCCCACATAACCGCCCAGATAGACCCCTATTGGACATGTTCCTCCTTCCCGTCCTTGGGGATACGAGCCAAAGCGGCTCACACTTGCGACATGGCACCTTAAATAGAAATGAGGACCATTTTTGAGTCACCGGTGCGCCAGGCAGGAGGGTCCGAGGGGTTGCAACTTGCAACAGGTTGGGGTTGAGTCTCGTCTACTGTTGAAGTCTTGATAGACTATGCTTCAATGGCAGACAGTGAAACTGACCAAAGAATATCCAGGGACCATCCGCGCTAATCCAGTCATAGTACGTGGCATGCCACCGTCACAAGCACCACACTGCATTCATTCAATCGTCAGACGGTACAAGAACAGAAACCCACGACGCAAACACCCCGGCTACTCTACAAATACACATTCATCTCTGCCGCGCAGTTACGCGCCACCCGAAGTACGATCACTCAATCTTGCCCGTTTGAGACCAATGTACCAGACTGGACTATAGCAATATCGATAGGCGACGTTTTGCTTAAGACCTGCCGCGTCATCACGCGCAGACTATGGAAACTATCAGGCATCCGGTTTCGGACATAGATTCCGAATTGCTGATGACGATGCTTCAACGATGATGGAGGGTATATAGGTATGTGCATTGTGCAGCTCATGAATATATCAAAGCTCTAGACTCGAGCTCCACTCATTGCGAATCCAGGGACGTGCCCTTGAGACACATTCCTGCCAGCATGGCGGACAATACCCGCGAAATCTGGAACGTGAAGAACTTGACGAATCTCCACCTGACGTGGCGGTCGTCATTACGATAAGGGATTGATATCACGTTGTAGGACTTCAGCTATGATCTGCTAGTGAATAGGCTGGAGTGCTGTTCTCGGTCAATCTGGAAACTGAATCTGCGGTAGGGCTCTGTCGAGGTAAATGTATATGGTGTCTCGAGGGCACTTCTTCGCGAAGGATACTAATCTACAGAGAAACACAGACGCGTCATAGGTCGAGCCATGATTCGGATAGTAGACCAACCATCTTCCTTGGCTCTACTTTATATGCCTCTTCCCTGTGCACCGTAGTCACTAGATATAACAAGCAATAGCAGCACCGTTGGCCACGTGCCCGTGCCTCATCTAGTCCCGTACACTCATGTAGTGTTACGATACTATATCCAGCAAGTCTCGACCTTACCCAAATAACGCCCTACAACTCTCCACCACTCACAAACCCCAATTAGCCCAAGATATACGGGATACCTTACAAACCAACCCATACATACATTTCCCTCGTACGACCTCACCAACCCCCAGAGACCAAACACCAAGAGCAAGCACAACCCCAAGCATCTCTCAATCCGTTCCATTCCATTCAATCCATATCAACATATAACATATCATACACACCCCATCCTACCCTCCAGCCCATCCCCATCCCAAAACCCCACCATTACTTCTTACTCGCACTCACAGACACAGTCTCACTCTCCGTCCCCGGAACCGGAACCTCCCCACGAATCCAATCCGCGAATTCCTTCCTCTTAGCCTAAATATCATATTAGCAAAGTCCACATCAATCCCCCATTCCCCTCCTAAACCCTCCCAACCCAGCCTTCTCCCAACCCAACACAACACAAACCAAGAACAGGGGAATGGGTGAAGCATACCCTAACATCCCAAAACGCAAACCGATCCTCCAACCTGCGATAGGGATTCCTCGCGCCGCCTTCTCGTTCAATCTGGCCCGCCCATTCACTCCAACTAATCGGTTTGAGTTTTTCAGCGCCGAGGACGAGACCTGCCGAGACGAGGACGAGGGATGCGAGGGCTTCGATTATGATGTCCTGGGGGAGGGCGCTGGTCGTTGGGTTGGTGTTGCTGGAGAGGAGGGTGTGTTCGTGGGCGGAGTAGCCTCTATTCTCTCTTGTTAGTTTTGGGGTTCGCATTGGGTTTGGGGGTTTGGGGGTCGGATTTGAGGTTTGGGGGGAGGTAGAGGGAATTGGGGCATTGGGGCATGGGTGGTTGGATGGATGGTGAGTGAGGGATTGGGATAGGTAGGTGGTAGGCTTGGAGGGAGAATGTACGCGTGAGCGAGGAGAACCAGGCCAAACAAGGCGATGAAGCGGGATAGGAATCCCATCTTGGATACCAGGTGTATGTAGGTATCTAAGTGTTGGGTTGGAGGGTTTCGACTGGTCGGGATAGCTGGAGCTGTATGTGGTATGTAATCCGCGCACGTGCTTCTACGGGAGACCAATGGGCCCTCTTGTGCACCAGCCCTCTGCACCGGCTCTGCTCCGGCTGGATCTTTTCAGACCCCGCCATAGGCCCAACGACCTAGTCGCAATTGGGCAGCACCCCAGGTTCATGCCACTTGGTGCGGTTGCTAGGAGGGGTCATCTACCAATCTACGAGGGCAACGGCTATATGTGCTCCAGTGTGTTATTAATGGGGTATTTATTGATTCGTTATGTCGCCGGGATCATCCCCGGTCGACGGGGTTATTCAAGTTCATGACAGTATATTTCCGTGGGATAACATCAAATAATCCATCATCACATGGCTCTTCATTAAACAACATTCCATTTACAGCTTCTGCATAGCGGCCTGTAGAGATTCTGTTAGCATCATTCCATCGAGCCGAGAAGCATCCGCGACTTACAACATCGGTGGACTGGACGTGGTCCTCGTCCTCCTCGATCTGCTGCTGGAGCTCATCAAGAGAGATCTTCTCGTCCTCAACGACAAGGTTGATCTGGAGCTTCTTGATACCGAAACCAACGGTGACGAACTTGCCGGCACCCCAGACGAGACCGTCCTTCTCAATGGCACGGACGTTGGCCTCCATCTGCTGGAGGTCGGTCTCATCATCTGCAAAAAGTTAGTATCAGGAAAATAAAGTAAAGAGGAATTGACACATACCCCAAGGCTTAACCTCAAGAGTCACGATGGACTTGGCAACGGGCTTGGGCTTGGCCTCCTTCTTCTTCTTGTACTCAGCAAGACGAGCCTCACGCTCCTTGACGGCCTCGGGGTCCTCCTCCTCCTCGTCGGAGCCGAAGAGGTCCATGTCATCGTCGTCCTCAGCAGCCTTGGGGTTGGTAGGCAGCTCAGTGGACTCGGGGCCGTAGGAGGTGTAGGGCTTGGAGGCATCGCCAGGGAGAGTGGCGTGCTCAGCCTCGTGGGAGGCAATGTGCTTGTACCAGCGAGCAACGTGGGGGTACTTCTCGGCGTCAGGGGCGCCGGAGAAGGCCTTGAAGGTTACGACATCGGCCTGGGAAGGAGCGTCGCTTTTTTCAGTTAGCTTGATGCCCATTTCTTCAAATGATAGATCAAGAAATAAAGCAAAAAAAAAAAACAAAAGGATTTCCAAGTGATCAGAAGCGCGATTGCTCGCATTGTGTTTAATCTTGCAGCGGGGTCTTAAGCCGCCTCATAAACACGGACCAATTTCTTTTCATCATGCAAACAAGGAAAATCTTTCAAGGCACCAATGCTAGAGAGAAAGGGATGTGCCTTACCCAACAATGTAGCTCCTGGTAGCCAAGTAGTTGTTGGCAACTGAGGGGTACCATTAGTTACTGCTGAGAGCAGACAGGAAAGGAAAAGGGAAAGCAAAATAGGGAAATGGTAGACATACCGGTGAGGCCGGCGTCGGAAGCGAGATCAGTGAAACCCATTGTGAATGTGTGTGTGGGAGAGATGTGTGGTGAGTGGAAAGGAAGAAGAAGAAAGGAGGAAGAAATAGGAGGGGAAAGGTGTTCTGAAGTATTTTTTCAGGCGGAGGGTCCGAGTAGTGAAATTTTTCGGCGGCACCAACAGAGCCCCTCATTTCGGCCAGCACGTGACCCCACGGTGACGGAGTGACGGAGCTATCTGGCCTTTGGGGGAGCTTCCGCCACTCACCGGCCAGCTCGCGGTGGAGCCTTCGAGAAGCCTCGCGACGCTTGCAGGCAAGCCGATAGTCGCCTGGCCCGGCTATATAGGCTCGAGCTATACTCGAGCTATACGGGAGCTGCAGAGACCACCGACAGGACTGTACGTACCCTTATCCTCGCATTTTGACCATGTCGTCAAGGTTGCACCTTGCTCGGGGTCGGCTTCTCCGACCGTCCAGTCTTCCGTCATCGACTCGGAGCTTTCAACCTTCACAAGCATTACGCCTACTATCGCGCGCGCGGCTAGGCAATGTCGTCCAGACTCTGTCAGTACCACCCATACGCACGTATGCCAATGGACGCCCTCATCCTCCCGGCGGTACCCATCGCATGAACCTAGGTGGCGAGCCTGAAAAATCAGCTTTGGAACAGTTTGGTGTCGATCTCACAGCCAAGGCTAAGGATGGCAAATTGGACCCCGTCATCGGACGGGATGCCGAAATCCATCGCACCATCCAGGTCCTCTCGAGGCGAACGAAGAATAACCCCGTTCTGATAGGAGCGGCGGGTACTGGAAAGACGGCAGTTTTGGAGGGTCTGGCGCAAAGAATTGTTCAAGGAGACGTCCCGGAAAGCATCAAGGAAAAGCGTGTCATTTCCTTGGATCTAGGGTCTCTCATCGCTGGTGCTAAGTTCAGAGGAGATTTCGAAGAACGGCTGAAGTCGGTCCTTAAAGAAGTCGAGGATGCGCAAGGGGGTGTGATCCTCTTCATCGATGAACTGCATACCTTGCTTGGCTTAGGAAAGGCAGAGGGCAGTATTGACGCCAGCAACCTTCTGAAGCCGGCATTGTCTCGCGGCGAGCTTCAATGCTGCGGTGCTACGACTTTGAACGAGTACAGATTGATTGAAAAGGACGTCGCTCTGGCAAGACGGTTCCAGCCTATCCAAGTCGGCGAACCTTCAGTTGCGGCTACTATCTCCATCTTGCGTGGTATCAAGAACAAGTATGAGGTCCACCATGGTGTCCGAATTACGGATGGTGCTTTGGTGGCAGCGGCAACCTACAGTAACCGCTACATTACGGACCGTTTCCTTCCCGATAAGGCGATTGATCTCGTCGATGAGGCAGCGTCTGCTCTCCGCCTACAGCAAGAATCGAAGCCCGATGTGATCAGAGAACTGGACCGCGACATTACCACCATCCAGATTGAGCTCGAGTCCCTTCGCAAAGAAACCGACGTCAGTAGCCGTGAGCGACGCGAAAAGCTCCAGGGAGACTTGAAAGTCAAGCAAGAAGACGCGGCGAAATTGACCGAGGTATGGGAGAAGGAGAAGGCTGAAATCGAAGGCCTCAAGCGCGCAAAGGAGGAGCTGGAGCGAGCTCGGTTCGAACTAGAACAGGCACAAAGAGAAGGAAACTTTGCCAAGGCTGGTGAGCTGAGATATGCCACCATCCCAAGTCTTGAAGCCAAGCTGCCCAAGGAGGGTGAGGAGCCAACAGCAGGTACTCAGACCAGTCTCATTCATGACTCGGTTACGGCTGATGACATTGGCAACGTGGTTTCTCGGACCACCGGCATCCCTGTCAACAAGCTAATGGCCGGTGAAGTGGAGAAACTCATCAAGATGGAAGACACATTACGCCGATCTGTTCGTGGGCAGGATGAGGCTCTCTCCGCAGTCGCCAACGCCGTTCGGATGCAAAGGGCGGGTCTCAGTGGAGAGAACAGGCCACTTGCTTCGTTCATGTTCCTTGGTCCTACTGGTGTTGGAAAGACAGAACTTTGCAAGAAGATGGCCGAGTTCCTGTTCTCCACTGAAACGGCCGTTGTTCGATTTGACATGAGCGAATTTCAAGAGAAGCACACGATCAGTCGCCTGATCGGCTCCCCAGCTGGCTACGTTGGATACGACGACGCCGGTCAACTTACAGAGGCTGTAAGGAGGAAGCCGTACGCAGTGCTGTTATTCGATGAGTTCGAGAAAGCGCATCGCGACATCTCTGCTTTGCTGTTGCAGGTCCTTGATGAGGGTTTCCTTACCGATTCTCAAGGCCACAAAGTTGACTTTAGAAACACTCTCATTGTCCTTACATCGAACCTTGGAGCCGACATCCTTGTGGGTGCCGATCCTCTGCATCCTGTCAAGGATACCGGAGATGAGCTTTCGCCTGAAACGAAGAAGTCAGTCATGGACGTTGTGCAATCGGCCTATCCGCCAGAGTTCCTCAACCGTATCGATGAGTTCATTCTCTTCAAGCGGCTGTCCCGCGACGCTCTGAGGGATATCGTCGACATCAGAGTAAAGGAGCTTCAAGCACGACTCGACGATCGACGGATGACTCTCCGGGTGGATGACGAGATCAAGGATTGGCTCAGTGAAAAGGGCTATGACCCTAAATATGGTGCTCGGCCCCTCAACCGCTTGATTGCCAAAGAAATTGGCAACAAGCTGGCTGATAAGATCATTCGCGGCGAGATTACATCCGGACAAACTGCTCGTGTCACATTCAATACCGACAAGAGTGGACTTGCAGTCATGGCAGAAGTTGCCGAAGAAACTGAAACGGAAAAGTCGTGAAGTGTTCATTTGCATTGCATATTCCTGTTATTGAGTACTTGGCGCTATTGCTGGGAGTTTCGGTGTGTTAGATGATGACCTTGGATGACCTTATCTCTGCTCTTCTCATTGTACTATAGCATGAACTACATTGTATACCATATGTTATGAATAAATTGTATATATCTCTACGGCATGAAATACAGTAATCATGTTTTGAATTTCAGTTTTTCCTGTTCTGCGATTGTCACTTGATCCGGCAAAGTAAGGCCGCTCCGGGGCACTCCATCCCAATCGGCCCATAGGGACCTTCTCCTAACGAGAATTTATCCATCAAAGACTAAACCTCCTATTTGTCATGGAATCGCAAAATAAGCGGAGGCGGGTGGCACATCACTCATATATCGAGTCTCCCAATACCAGGTTCAATAGAGACGACAATGCACGACCAAGACCCTCTAGCAACCTGCGTCCAAGTTCGCAAGATATACAGAGACCAAGGCCAGGTGCTGTCAATAGAGATGGGGCCTATCGGGTTGATAGCGGGCTATTTGAGCAATCCATCGATGACGACCTTGAACAAGTTATAGTGGCAGTGGATATGAAAGACTCGGGAACTGTCGGCTGTTCCTACTATTCTGCACAGGAAGAGAGACTCTACCTACTGGGGGATCTACGATATTCCAGTGCAGAGATCATTGACAGCTGTTTGTCTGATTTTCCTTGCTCTCATATGCTGAAACTAACAGACTTGAAGTGGTCCTGCAGACTAAGCCTACGGTGCTCTTGATCTCACCTCGGATTGATCCCAATAACCTCCAAGAAAGACCATGGGCTGGACAAGACAGCGGTATGTAGGGAACAACATAATGGGTATACTAGAAACCGAGGCTCATTTGGCGATTTCACAGACACACACTATCTTCCTTACCAGCTGGATATACGCCCATCGCAGGAATTCAACTACTCAAATGCGAAAAACAAACTAGTGGCCTTGGAGATCTCCTCAAGACATGAGCAACGTATCAAATTCTTAGTACCACATAACGGATTGGTTGATGGTGAACAATTAGATGCTGAAAATCTGGATCTCACATCGCAAGAAGGCAAGCTTCTGCACATATCAAGCTCGATCGAGATGGAGAACACAGTGACGATAGGATGTGCCGGTGTTGTCCTCGCTTGCCTACAAAGGCGTCGAGCTTCAATGTCAACGTCTAACGGCAGTGTCTCAGGAGCATTCCGAGTAGCATCTGTGGAAATGTTCAGTCTGTGTGGGACTATGTAAGTATATCTTTTTAATCTGATTCAGAGGACACGAGATTGACAAAGAACAGGTTCGTCAATGGTAGGACTTTACTGTCACTTCAAATCATGGAATCCGAATCTCATCCTAGTATGGTAAATCAGGGGCCAGGGAGAAAGTCTTCTTCATCAAAAGAAGGCCTTTCGATTTATGGCCTCTTCCAGCGCTTTTCATATACCCCCCAAGGAAGAAACCGACTAAAGCAGATGTTTCTTCGTCCCAGTGTGGAACTTGAGGTTATCCACGAGCGACATTCTTTCGTCAGCATATATCTTAGGGCTGACAATTATAACCCATTGGAAAAGATGGTCAAGGGCTTGAAGCATATCAAGAACCTCCACCATGTAATGATCAACCTTCGAAAGGGAATCAGCACCGGAAGCGGAAAGATCATGGGCTTCAAGACAACAGTATGGGCTACTTTGCTGGCCGTATGTCATCTGAAGTGGAGATTGGGGAGAATGCTTCGCTGACTTTACTATCAGTTTGCCTTCTATGGAATTGACATTCACGACGCCCTGAGGGAGACCTCGGGTGGAAGCCTTCTGGCTCTACATAGCAAGGTACTCTTGGGAAAAGATGATCTTTCTGCAAGCTAAGCATGATGCAGGCACTCCGTGCCTTTGAAGCAGCTCAGTTATACAAAGTCGGAAGAATGATACAAGAAATTGTATGTATTATCCTACTTCTTGTGCAAACCCCTCCTAAATACAACAGGTCGACATCGATAGCTCTGAGGAGCAGGGCAGAGCTGTTGTTAAGCCAGGGATAGACCGAGAGCTGGATCGGATGAAAGATAACTATGACGGTTTGAATAGCCTTCTGAAACAGGTTGCGATAGAAATTGCAACAACTATCCCGGAAAGCTACGATATTGACGTAAACGTTATTTACTTCCCTCAACTTGGTTTCAACATAGCTATTCCACTCAATGAGGGGGGTGACCCTGCTTACAGGGGTGCTGAAGATGACTGGGAACTTATGTTCCTTACGGAGAACAGAGCATACTTTAAGGACTTCAGAATGAGGGAGATGGACGGCAAATTGGGTGATATCTATGGGCTGATATGTGGTCTGTTCTGGTTCCCAATGATGAGGTGCTTCTGCTAACTCTTCTGGTCTTGTCAGAGAAGGAGATCGAAATTGTTTACGATCTCGCACAAAGAGTGCTTCAATACGAGAAAGTTCTCCTCGAAGCATCTGATGTATGTGGGCATATAGACAGGTAATATCAGTATCCAAGTAGTTAAAGAAGCTGATTAACAAGTCAAAAGTCTTCTTGCAATGGTCCAAGCTGCAAGTCTATACAAGCTGGTACGTCCCAAGATGGTGGAGGAAGATATTATTAGAATCAGGGGTGGAAGGTAAGGCAATTTATACCTAGGCTTCCTCAGTTGGCTGACACGGAAGGAGACACATTCTACAAGAACTTACGGTCTCATCTTATGTGCCCAATGATACCTTTCTTATTAGCAAAGGAGTGCGAAAGGAGGCAACGGAAATTCGTCGTTGTGCAACAGGAGGAAGCGAAAGGGGCTGTTTTCCGAGCATGTTGCTGCTAACCGGGCCAAATTATTCTGGAAAGAGTGTTTATATGAAGCAGGTGAGCTTTGTCCTCCGCTGCAAATAGAAACCGGCTAATGCGGTGCTATACAGGTCGCTCTTATTGCCTACCTGGCACAGGTGGGAAGGTATACGATCCTTGACTCCCAGGATGTACTGGTTACGAGACTTAAGGTTGCAGCTTCGTCCCAGCTGAGAGTGCAGAACTTGGGATCATCGACAAGATCCTGGTCAAAACGAATACTCAAGACAGCGTCTCCCAGGTAGGCAACCAATCCGATTATTGCAATATGCCAATTAATCAATTATAACTCAGATCCAGAGCACCTTCATGAACGATTTGCAGCAAATATCCTTCGATCTAAAGCAGATGACCGGCCATAGCTTGCTGCTGATAGATGAATTCGGCAAGGGCACCAACGAGAACGGTCCGTATATCCACAGCCCTCAACTATTCCTAATGTCTGACGTCCATCTACAACACAGATGGCATCGGACTAGCATGCGGTGTTCTAGAACACCTCCTCAACCTCGAGGATCCACCCAAAGTCATCGCCGCAACTCATTTCCATGAAATTCTCGAGAACGGATTTCTCAAACCTAGGCCACAATTACAACTCGGCCACAAGTTCGCGTACGCGAGGAGCCCACCGAAGCCGAAGATCAAATTGCCTATCTCTATAAGTATAGCCCCAATCCAAACCACACTTGCAAGGGTAAAGCACTAAGATGCATGACTATAGCTTCCGTCTAGGACGAAGCGATCAAAGCTTCGGAACAATGTACGTTCCCGGAAACCTGGATCATCATCTCAAGTATTGACACGGAACAGATGTGCTGCGATGAACGGTATCAGTCAAACCATTGTTGATCGGGCAGACGAGATCGCTTCTCTTTCTGCGCGGGGTGAAAATTTAATTGCTGCTTGCGCTATGCTCTCGGCTGAAGAGACGCAGGCTCTGGAAGATGCGGTACGAGCATCCCCATCAATCTGTATATAATCTTGTGTCAGAGAGGGGAAAGCTAATGGGTATTCACTTTAAGGACAAGTTAGCGAGAAAGTTTTTGTGGTTAGATCTCTCTAGGGCGGATAAGACGAACGGCACAAGGGATGCGTTGGAGAAGCTGTTTGATGGTGTCGGTGCGGGTTCCTAGGAGTTCGGCTAGTATATATTCTTATGCGGGAGTCTTTTCCGACATGTTATTCGCGGGGACCACCATGCCTTCATGATTTCGTTGAGCTCGACTGTTTACGCAAATATTAGTGGAGGAGATCGGCTACCTAGCCCATTTAAAAGCAAATTGCAGCCAGACAAAAGTTTGTATCATTGGGAAAATTATCTATGTACACACAAAGTCCCATTTTCGCACACATTGAACGCCAGTAAGGTATGTCTCCAATTGTGCAGTAGCGGTGATCAGAAAGAAGAGTAGAACTAAAGCTAGAGCTTAACACTCTTGACCAAGTTCTTCTTGATACCCGTAAGTTCACCACCATATCCACCGCGGCCTTCACCACCCTTGTATACCTGGCGGATACTGCCCAGCTTCTTCTTCTTCTCCTCGAACTTCTTTCTCTTCTTGACACGGGGGTTGCGGGAGTCTTTGCTGCGCTTGGGTGTGAGACCCTTGTTCTTCTCGATTTGGTAGGTGATTGCACGCTTGCCATCAGGTCCGATCTCTTCCTGGATTGCAACGTGGCCACCTTCACGAGCTGCGGCGGCATAGGCGTCCGCGCGCGCCTTCTTGTCGTCCTTCCGCTGCTTGCCGCGGGCCGCAACCATGTCGTAGTAATCATCATCGTCAGACTGTTCGCCTCGGAGTTGATTGGCGACCTGACGATCCTCCTCGTCACTGTCACCACCCAGCTGCTCCGACTCCTTCAGCTTCTGTTTACCACGCTTCTCGGCCTCTGCGTTCAACCGAGCTTGGCGATCCCTCAAGCGCTCACGGTAAGGAAGATCTGCATCACCACCCGCGTCCCGACCAGCTGCACTACGCTTGTTGGCCTTCTGTGCAAGCTGGGAAGTGTAGAACCGGAGAGAACGCTTCTGCTTGGCCTTCTCCTCTGCCTCCTTCGCAGTGAGGGTGTCTTCATCACCAAAGTCAGAGTCATCCTCCTTGGACGACTTCGTCTTCTGGCTGACTCGCTTCTTGCCCGATCCAGCGACAAGCTTCAAGAGGTCTGCAAGGTTGGCTTCGGTCTGTCGGAGTCTCTCTGCTCTTCGTGCCTCTGCCTCTGCTTGCGCGGCCTCAGCTGCGCGCTGTGCCTTGGAAACCTTCTCCTTCTTCTTCTTGGAGGCTTGCGTCTCCTTGCCCTTGGCCTTTTGCTTAGGCGCAGGTGCATCTGATAGGATATCGTCGATGTCCTCGGATTCGTTCGAATCTTCGGGTGTCGCTGGTTCGGGTTCGCTGAGGTCTTTGACAGTTTCCCAAAGTTTCCTGAACTTGACGAGGGATCCCATCACTGGATGCGCCCGAAGCTGGGCGGGCGCTAGCGGGGCAGAATTTCCGGAGGCGTCATTAGAGGAGGTCAGGAGCATGAAGTACATGCCGATGGCACCAAGGTAAGCGGACAGAGCGCGGAACTTAACGACGGAAAGAGGTGCTGCTTCTGGGGCATCTTCGGAGTCATCGTCGACGTTGAAGCTTTCAGCGGCCTTTGCGAGGGCCTGATGAGTGGACTGGAGATCGACAAAGTCTTTCGATAGCGGCTCGAACTCGGGATATCTGGACTTCAGTATCTTCAACTTCTCTTCGGCGCTCATATCCTCCGTGATTTCCATCTGGGGTAGAACTTCTGTCACCACGCCGCCGTCTTTTTCATCTTCTTGTCCCTTGCCGGATTCGACCCATTCAGTTTCATCAAAGCCGAAATCTTCTTCATTCATTGCCTGCAGGTGCTTCTGTTGTAGTCGCTTAGCTTCCTCCTCTTCCTCAAGAGCATCTGCTTCCGTTTCAATCTGATCCGCATTGTAAAGATCCTTTTTCGAGGATCCCCAAGCGGCGATACCTTCCTCCTCGTCTTCAGACGCTTCGGATCCTGCACTGCCGCCGCGCTTTGACTTGGACTTCGACGGAACATGATCCATGTCATCCTCATCATAATCATCGCCTTCGTCGAAATCCTCCTCATCGTCAAGATCGTCGTCGTCGTCTGCGGAATCGTACCCCATGACCTCTTCGTCCGACAACTGGAGATGTTCCTCTACAGTACAATCCGGTTAGCCAGACATACCGACAGTATAATGTACATGCGCTGTAGGGTAACCAACCATCCTCAGCTAGCTTCCGACGTCTCTTGGCCTCAGGCGCCTCTTCGAGCAAGATCTGGTCGCGACCGGCTTGGAACTCATCTTCCGAATCGTCGAATCTCTCCTCGATGTCGAATTTAGACGGACCAAAATTGTCCGCCTTGGGTGCGGCAGGGCGACCGCCGGCCTTTCTTTTCTTACCCATGATATGCTGTGGGTGAGTGAAGGAGGGAGAGAATGCTGGACCGGACCAAATCCTCCGCACCGAATCGATAACTTTTGCGATAAAAATTTGGGAGGGGACGCTCACCGCCCGGCAGGTGCTAGTCCGCAATGGGTGTTTGCACCGTTTGACTGTTGGCTCCGCGGCCGGGAAAGTCAGCCGAGGGATGCGCCTTCCCTTTTATCTTGTATCTTCTATCAGCACCCTCATCGTCCCCGAGAAGGAAGCCGCAATTCTCGCGCCATTGCCCCGACTGGAAGCCTCGCCCCGTCTCATAAACCCCTCTACCCCCTTTCCTGACTTCTCTTCTCTCTTCTCCCATGCATCCACTGTTACCCATCATTTCTTACAACGCCTCTCCGACGACGTTGGGGATTTATACCATTCTCTGCGGACTATTCCTATACACTGCTAGCAAGATGTTCGGCTTTGGATCTCGGAATCAGTTCGTTGTTGCGGGCAGGGTATGTTCTCATTGTCTCCCTCTTGGTGATGTTGCTGATCCCTCATCTCCTAGACTGCCGTCATCACTGGAGGCTCTGAGGGGATGGGCAAGGCGGTCGCTTGCCAGCTTTCCGAGAAGGGGGCCAACATTGTGCTTGTTGCTCGCACTGTCTCCAAACTCCATGAGGCCCTTGAGGCCGCCAAGGTAAGCAGAATATCGGCTTATGAAAAGGATTCCGGCTGATCTTCTCGATGTCCGTGAAGGGTTCGGCGACTCATACCGACCGGCAGAGATTCCACTACATCAGTGCGGATCTGACCGACGCTGCGGAATGCGAACGTGTCATGGCGGAAGTCACCGAATGGAACGATGGACAAGCCCCCGATATTGTATGGTGCTGTGCTGGATACTGCAATCCCGGCTTTTTCGCCGAGACACCCGTGCAAACGTTGAGGGACCAAATGGATACCGTGTATTGGACAGCTGCCAACACAGCTCATGCGATCTTGAGACGGTGGCTAGTACCTATTAGCCCCAGCCAGCAAATGCCGCTACCACCAAGGCACCTCATCTTCACATGCTCCACCCTCGCATTCGTGCCCATTGCCGGTTATGCCCCCTACTCGCCTGCCAAAGCTGCGATTCGCTCATTGTCCGATACACTCAGCCAGGAGATTGAGGTCTACAATGGTTCTCGTGTATACAAGTGCCGGACAGAAGCTCCAGCTACGGACGTCAAGATACACACCGTCTTCCCAATGGGCATTCTTAGCCCTGGTTTCGACAACGAACAGAAGCTCAAGCCTGATCTGACCAAGAAATTGGAAGCTGCCGACAAGCCACAGACCCCGAGAGAGGTTGCAAGCATCGCGATCAAAGCCCTGGAAAGGGGCGAGTACATGATCACCACGATGTTTGTGGGCGACGTCATGAAGGGGTCTGCTCTCGGAGGCAGCCAAAGGAACTCGTTCATTCGCGATACCTTCACTGGCTGGCTTAGCAACTTGTTGTTCCTCCACGTGAGCCCCGATCTTCGACGCCAGGCATGGCACTGGGGGGAGAAGCACGGTGTTCCGTCTCGCCCGAGGGCGTAGTTAATGGGGGTCTTGCTATGCTTTGTGTCGGATTAGATACCCTGAGCGTGTCCTCTCTTTATCCTTATGGTCATTGTTATGTTCACCTTGAATATCATGTACAAAAAAAGCCGGATTGATCATTAATAAGAAGACCCATTGTTCCACTACCTACTACTTTTCTTGGCTTGATGGCCCTATGCCATCTTGTGTAAGCCCTGCGCGGGGAGTTGAAACATGCATCCCCGGAGAGGGGTAGGCCAATTGGGGTGCGCTCGCAGCAGATGACCCTTTGAAGCTTTTCTGGAACCTCGAGCAAGTCTGTTGTATGGTTCCTTTGTCCGCGAGGCCGAAAATAGCGGCGACTGCGCACGACGACAAAGCGAGGGCTCCGTGTTAGGGCAAGCGGGCGGGTCGGCGGAGGGGCGTGACGTCGGACGGCCGCCGCAGGCGCGTCGCCCTTCCATTATCCGTCTTCCTTTCACCTCGAGGACGATTTTAACCCTCCTTTGTGGCTCCGTCTTTTGCCTCGCCTATATAAAATGCGCTGGGGAGAGTATGCGACGGGACTCCAGACATCGTGACCCTTTTGCCGAGACGCATCTCTCCAGTCCATCCAACATACACCATGGCATCGTCGTTCTTGGCTTTCCCCGTCGTTCTCTCTTTTTTCGTCTATTCATCTCCCTCCTTCACGACTCTTAACTTGATCTTCTTCTATATGACATGGACGACCCTCATCCTCTCGCACTCACCATTCAAGGTTGAGGTGGTTGGCACCATAACCGTGAGACTGCTGTTCTACGTCCTCCCGTCGGCGCTTTTCTATCTGTTCGACATCCTCGTCCCTTCCGCCGCTGTGCTGCTGAAGGCGCACGGCGAACAGGGCCTGCCAACGAGAAGCAAGCGATTCCGAATCCGGGCCAAGGACTTCAAAGTCATCGGATGGTCGCTATTCAACATCTCCATGAGCATCATCGTGCAAGGCATCATTGAGAGCGTCCGAATAGGATACTTCAAAACGCGGAGTGCCCTCAAAGTGTCGTTTTCGATCCCCTTCTTACCGTGGAGCATTGGTCTCCACCTCCTCTATGTTTTGCTACTCAGAGAGGTACGACCTGTCTAGGTCCCCGCGTCAGCGCCCAAGTGCTAACCAGCCGCAACCATCCAGACCCTCGCCTACTGCATCCACCGCTTCGTCCTCCATAATACAAAATATCGCATCACGCGCTATCTCACACGCCTCCATGAAACCTGGTATCATGAGCTCCATGCGCCCTATCCCACCACGGCCCATTACGACCACCCTCTCCCATACCTTCTACGAAATACCATCCCCACATTGATCCCGGCGGTGCTATGCCGCCTCCACATGATCACATACGCCATATACTTGACGATTGTCTCGCTGGAAGAGACCCTCGCTTACTCCGGTTACTCGACTATGCCGATGGACTTCCTTCTCCTGGGCGGGATCGCCCGTAGAGTGGATCGGCATTTGATTAGTTGGCCGGAAGGTAATTACGGCCCTTGGGGTATTTTGGATTGGATCCTTCAGACTACGATCCCAGACGAGGGAGGTGAGGTGGTCGAGGTAGTTAGTAGTAAGGGTGATCGGGCGATTTGGGATGACGAGAGATCGGGAGGAAGTCGTAGATACTCGATGACGGAAGACGAGTTGCAGGCGAAGGTGCACAAGGCTTTGGATCAGCATGCGAAGAAAACGCAGAGGAAGCACAAGAAAAAGATGTCCAGTCATTAAGCTTGGATATGAGTTTCCATTGGATTGCTGTTGTTGGGATACGAAGACTGACCATCACCCGACTGGCTGTTGGTGCACTGCTTGCATATGCCCGAGTTGGATGTATCATGTTGGAAATGTGTATATGTTATCATGATATAAAATGAGGTTATGGTATATGCTTGCAATTCGGACTGGGTATACGGAGTATATTGCAGGGCGTTGCATTCATTCAGTGGGCTGAGGTGTCCGCATGAGGCTCATAGATCGATCGCCATCTTACATAGTACATCTTTAATGTCATCATTATGGTAAATTATTATGTGTCATGAATACTCCGTAATATATAGATTGTTTGTGGGGCAGGCGCGCGGGTGTTTCCAGGGCAGTCGCAGTCGCAGTCGCAGTCGCAAACACAATCGCAATCGAAATCCTATACAACAGTACATTGTACTCCGTACTCCGTAGCCGATCGATCGATAGATACCTAAGAACTGGACCAAGGACTGATATAAACCCATGACTTTAAAGAATTCCTCCAAAAGGATTATTTTGAGATTTCCGCCCGAACCTGGAAATCTGGAGAGAGAGAGAGAGAGAGAGAGAGAGAGAGAGAGAGAAAAGATATATCGTAGTGAACATGAATGAAAAAGCTCCCAGCCCTGAACTCGGGAAGGAGACAAGTAAACAAAGGCTGGAAAAGGTATTCTTCTTTTTTTCTTTTCATTTCGGCTCAGTTATCAACTGCTGCTGTAAGACGGCCAGGCTGGAGGGAACTGATCGTGAAATATAGAAAGATAACAACCGGTTTTTTCTTTTTGGTTCCGCATTAAAAAAAAAAACCGCAATCCTAAGCAAACATGAGGCCCGAATCGAGTTACATATACTTCATGAACTGTTCCTCCGGCGCTGCAAAACGGTCTCCCAAGGAACATTGGGTATGGCCGAGTTGCATCTAGCCGCCCCTCGCAGGATTCCTCCACAATAACTACCGAACCCGCGGCCGCCGCGTCACACATCTACCACTTCATCTCGTGGGGCTTGTCACCGTTCCGGAGGCTGAAGCTGGTGGCGAGGTAGCTGCCAAGGAAGTTCTCCTTCTTGACGGAGGCCAGGATGGTCTGGTCAATGGCCTTCTGGTCGCTGGCGCGAGCGCTAGCAACGACCTTCTTCTGTTGATGGGTAACGCTACATCAGTATCCGATCATTCCGTAGAGCCCGGCCCTCTCACGTCGAGAGTCCAACCACGGGTGCACATACCTGGGGCTTCTCTCCCTGCTTGAAGAAAGCCTCCTCGGTCTTCTTCTCGGTCTTCTTCTCCTTGGTGAAGTAGTCGGCAGCGGAGACCTTCTCGAGGGTCTGAGCGTCAACACCGGAGATGTCCACGCGGGTGCTGGTGGCGATCACGTAGCGGGCGTTGACACGGCGGAGGGGAACACCGTTGATCTTGAAGGGACCGGTGACGAGGAGAACACCCTGGTCGAGGTGCTTGAGGAGAACGACACGCTTACCACGGAAGCGGCCGGCGAGGAGGATCAGAACGGTACCGGGCTGAAGGCTCTCGCGGAGCTTGGCGGGACGCAGAGTCTTGCGGACCTGTATGCATAAAAACAAACATCATGTCAGAACGGCCTGTGTTCTATATCTTCTGGTGTCCTTCTTGTGCCATTGTAAGACGGATATCGGGCCAAATTGCACAATTCCGAGGTCGGCCGAAGATGCGATTTCCTTATCAAAAACTCATGCATGGTCTTTCGACACACTGGCCCTGATTCCCATCTCCGGATAATAGGAGTCACCGCTCGCTGACCAGCGCAATCCGTCGCATTTGTTCAACTTGAAACCGCATCTTCGTCCGCCTCGTTTTTGGCTCTGGTATAGGGTGTGGTACTGACTTTCTTGGGCTGCGACTCGTCATCAACGGGGTACCATTTCTGGGCCTTCTGGGCCGGGACGATCCTCTGGCCCTTTCCAAACTGCTTCGTCTGGCCAACAGTAGAGTCCGACATATTGGCTGCTGGGGACGAAGGTGGTCTGAAAAGAATGTAGGGGGAGGGTGGTGGTTGTCGACGGCGGGTGGTTGTTGGAGTTGATGTGTGACTTGCTACTTGCGCCCCAGGACGGGAAAGTGTGAGTTTGTGTGGACGCGAGCCCTAGCCGAAAGGCGCTAGTGCCGATTCGGTGCCTTCTGATAGCGATAGCCCGATAGCGCTCCCGCAGGCCTGAGGCATCACTTTCCCGGGTCCCCTCCGGTCGCCCGCAGACTCCCATCGCGCAGCCCAAGCTATCCATTCACATTATAGCGGGTACGTTCCAACTGACGTACATTGCTTGATCAGCTTCTGCCGTCCATCCACAACCCAACTCCTCGCCCGCATCGTTGGAGTGCAATCATCATCGACCCCCAGCCAGCAGGGATCTGTATATATTCACGAGAACCCTCTGCCCTACCTTACCCTTGACGAACCTTCATCATGTCCATAGCTCCGATCATCACTTTCAAAGCGGGTATCTGTGACCTGGAGGTGAGTGGAAACCAAAGCTCTCTTCAGCTGAATCCATTGTCCCGTGGCTCATCACTTTTCTTCCTGACGATAGGCATCCGGCGAACCCCCCGTTGTCAGGCCCAAGCAGACCCCCGGTTACATCTACCTCTATTCCGAAGATGAGCTGGTACACTTCTGCTGGCGCCCCAGGTCTGCTCCCCACTCGGAGCCCGAGCTCGACCTGGTCATGGTCCCATCCGATGGGTGCTTCGTTCCATACAAGCCCGCCGGTAACGCGACGCCTACCAATGGTCGGATTTACGTCTTGAAGTTCTCCTCGAGCTCCCAACGGTATCTCTTCTGGCTGCAGTCCAAGTCTCAACACGAGGACGGCAACCCGAGCTGGTTCAGCCAGAGAGATCTCAGACTCGGAGAGATTGTCAACGGGCTACTCCAGGGTGAAGAGCTGGATGTGGAAAATGAAATTGCCAACCTTCCTCGGGGCGGTCCTTCGGGCGGCGATGACGACGAGACCATGGAGGATGTCGAAGGCGTAGACCACGACCCGAACCACAACCACGGAGGGAACAGCGGAGGCGCAGGCCCGGACGCTACGGGCGGTGATATCCGGGAGGAAGGCCAAGGATCGAGGGAGGGTGGTGCCGATGGTGGAAGAGCGTAGGTACAGATCTCGCCAGTTTTTTGTCTCTAGTCCCGAACTCTCCTAGCCGAGTTGTTACTTAAATAAGCTCGGATACGTCGGTCATGATTAGGCTTCGCACTTCTATGAATACAGGCTGACTGCTATCGGCACACAGGGCGGCTGCTGACTCGGATCCTTCATCTGTCGTGCAGAGCTTCCTGCAGTCTTTGGGGGGCGCACGGCAATCCCAAGACCCCGAGAGACCTTTCACTACTCTACAAGATCTTCTTTTACCTCAGACTACACTTCCCTTCTTGGAATCTGCGGACGAGAAAACTGTGGACAATATGTTGAGCTTCTTGCCCCCGTCGTTGCTGCTTCTGGCGCAGGAAAACGATCCCGAGGAGGCGGCGGCGGCAGACCAGGACCCTGATATCGCTCAAGCAGCTCTGGGATCCCTCGATCTGACGCAAAAGAAAGAGATTCTTCGCAAAGTCCTACACTCGCCCCAATTCCGGCAGAGTCTCGCAAGCTTGACGGTAGCGATAAGAGATGGCGGATTACCGAGCATCAGCGAAGCCCTGAAAATTCCAGTTGCAAATGGAGGATTCATGCGTAGAGGAGGGGTTCCACTGGGAGGCGGTGATGCTGTCGAGGCATTCCTCCAAGGCGTTCGGGATCATGTCAAGGATTCAGCTCAAGGAAACCGTATGGACACCGATTGATTGGTGCAAATAGCAAGCATTGATTGATTGATTATTATTATTATTATCTCTTTCTTTTTTTTTTTTTTTTCCTTTTTCCGGATCCTGGTCAAATGTAACTATCCACCCGTGTTTTAGAATCCATTAGCGGCCTTGCATGGGATGTCTCATCCCTCCCTAGAGACAGGACTTGTCATGGGTTATTTTTGGATGCGGTGGGTGGGGTCAATGGCATTGGTAGGCAGCATGATAATAATAATCAACTAATCGGTCTGGTGTGGCGCACGGCGGCGGGCGCCCGTTAATTTCGAACCCCATAGAGCCGGAGGGAAAACCTCCGATAGAATGAATGAATGACTGGGAGAGACAGACAGGTCGTACTACATGGCAAGCAGGCCGTAAATCCATGGAATTGCCGGGTTAGGCGTATGACAAGTGATCCTGTCAGGGACCAAAATCGGTCGTACATGATGAGATCCCCTCTCCTCATTCCGGGGACAGGGAATAATTGGCTTTGCCCACCCATAAGGCTCGGACGATTCGAAGATCAAAAAAAAGACGAGCAATCACTGGGGCTTCTCGACCATACAGAAGCCGCCGCTGCCGAAGCCGCCCCAGTTTTTGGCCGCTTTGGCGCCATCCAGGCAAAGCTCCGCTACGCATACCGTGCAATAATAATCATCACCGCAGTTTGGAAGACGACACGTTTGGGTTCCTTTCCCCATCATGCCCGCTGCCTTTGACGGCCGCTTGGCTTGATTGGATCCTTGCCCACATTTCCACTCGGGGGTGCCACCGCTAACTTAACCAGAGTTCGTCAGCCCTTTCGTACTAGACCCGAGTCCTGGCTAGGAGTCTTCCCCAAGCGCGCTTTCACTTGCTCTGGGTCGACGGCGCTCCAGAGCCCTTCTAATCTTTCTTTTTCTTTGCAGCCTGCGATGTCTGCGTTCGGTTAGCATTTTGAGACTGCCCATTATGGCTTCAAATAGCCATGACCGCGGCGCCAACAACCATGACTTCTCGAATGATCACCCAATCCCCTTGCAGGATCTCTCCGCGCCTTCGGAGCCGGATCATGAACGTGGAGGCCCAGGTGGTGTTGCGAGCAGGCTGGGTCGCTCTCTGACGGGCAGGGGCCGAACAGGAAGGACTTATGAACGGATAGCGGAGGATTCCCCCATCGAAGCCGTCAATGCGGCGCGCAATGCGCGCCCGCATCCTAGCGTCGCCGACGAAGAAGATGACGCCCCGATCGAAGACCCCGGGGCCTTTGCTCAGGCAATGTCATCGGTCGGACTCAGCTTTCACCCCTCGTCCAGTACCTCACTTGCGCCATCGCATAGCCGGGCGGGCTCCAGCATTGACCTCGACACCGTGCCGCTGGATGGAACCGAACCGTACCTCACCCACGTTCTTAGCTACAATGACACCGCACCGTTAACGAATACTCACAACATCCAGCCGATAAGTGGAGCTGCCGGCTCGGATGATGTACATCAGGATGATCAAAGCGGCGCACGTACAGTGCAGCCCCCCGCCGCCAGCCATCCGGGGTCACGACTAGGCGATGATCTACACATGTTGGAGGGGGGATATATTGGTAGACCCCGCGGGGGAAGCAATGCAATGGAGAGATCTCGATCGCTGTCCCCTTCGGGTTCTGGGTCGGCCTTGGACCGGGCCAGTTCGATGATGAAGTCCATGTCTCAGCGTATCGTCAACCTCAGCAATGAACCGGAAGTGGTGGAACAATCGATCCTCAGGGAGGAATCGCACCGGAATGCGCGGATGGAAGAGCCTCCGATACTCCCTTCTTTGCCAGATTATGCGCACGATGCGCCGTCTTCGAGTTCGTTTCGCAGTTCAGCTCCCGGAGAGAAACTGCATTCGGACAATAAAGCCTGGCGCGGGATCAGCAACCCTTTGAGAGGGAAATCGCTGGGCATCCTCGGCCCAGATAATGCTTTTCGGATGTGGTTATGTGATATTCTGGTTCATCCTTTTACAGAGCCGTTTATTTTGGTTGTGATTGTGGTCCAGACGATTCTGTTGACCATCGAGTCTTCACGCTCGGTCTGGAAATACCCCAGGGCTGTCAAATGGGGTGCAAATCCCATGGACTACCCGTACTTTGCTATCTTCATCATCTATACCCTTGAGATTATCGCCAAGATCCTGGTATCAGGGTTGATCATCAACCCTGCCGAATACAGCACTATTGACCGGTCGATGGGCTTCAGGAAGGCGGTAGTGGAGAAAGGGAAGAACCTCATCATCCCGCAGCGGCAATTCTCGGTGCGAAAATCATCAGTTATGTCAGAACAACCGCAGGCCTCTATCATACGCACTTTTACGGGCGGTTTGAATCAGTTGGAACGTCAGCTCGCCGATGATCCGCTTCAGAAAAGCCGCGTGAGACTCGCTCACCGTGCGTTTCTCCGCCACTCATTCAATCGTCTCGACTTTGTTGCGATGGTGTCGTACTGGGTATCTTTTTTTCTCTCTATATATGGAGTGGAGACTCGCCAGCAGCTCTACGTGTTTAGCATGCTTAGCTGTCTTCGGATCCTTCGTCTCCTGAATTTGACCAATGGTACTTCTGTAAGTGCGAGGCAAATGGTAATCCCCAGCAATTTGGTTCACTGACCCCAGCTCAGGTTATCCTTCGGAGTCTGAAAAAGGCCGCGCCTTTGCTCGCGCACGTAGCCTTCTTAATCAGTTTCTTGTGGCTCCTGTTTGCCATTGTTGGCATCCAAAGCTTCAAGTCCAGCCTTCGGAGAACCTGTGTCTGGGTTGGCGTCGACGGTCAAGATGATTATAACCAAAATGATCCAAACGGCAATATACAGTTTTGTGGAGGCTATTTCAATGCGACCACTGGGGAAGAAATGTCTTGGATCCAGTCGAACAACATCTCCAGTACGTCTACTCCGAAGGGCTACCTCTGTCCTGTAGGATCCATTTGTCTCGAGGGAACCAATCCCTTCAATGGGACAATGAGTTTCGACAATATTTTGAACTCGTTGGAGCTTGTGTTTGTTATTATGAGCTCGAACACATTCACCGACCTTCTCTACTATACTGCCGACAGTGATTATCTCGCGTCCTCTATTTACTTCGTATGTGGGCTTGTCATTCTGAGTTTGTGGATGGTCAGTCTGCTAGTTGCGGTGATCACTCACTCTTTTCAAGTCATTCGAGAGGAGAGCCAACGCAGTGCCTTTGCTGTTCAAAAGATTGACACAACTGACAGGGCAGACTTGTCCTCCCAGAAGGTGAGCACGATCAAACGTCTTTATGACAAGACCGAATGGCTCTGGGTTTGCATCATCATTTTTGATCTTGCCATTCAAGCCTTGAGGAGCGCTTCTATGGGTGACGATCGGGAGAGGTTGATTAGCACCACGGAACTCATTGTCACTTTCATTTTCCTTCTGGAGATCATCCTACGGTTTGCCTCTGATTGGCGCACGTTCCACAAAAAGGCTCGAAACTGGGTTGATTTGGGACTCGTCGTCATAACCTGCATCATTCAAATCCCAGCGATCAAGCGGGAACGGGCATACGATGTCCTCACGCTCTTCCAGATTCTTCGAGTATACCGCGTCGTGCTCGCCTTCAAGGTGACTCGGGACCTCATCATGGTTGTCTTCCGCAATTCAGTCGGTCTACTGAATCTCATCTTCTTCGTCTTCCTGATTACATTCCTGGCTTCAATCTTCGCAACACAGCTCTTCCGCGGTCAAATTCCCGAGGAAAATGACGACGGACTCATTTATATCACGTTCGCTGACATCTACAATTCATTCCTCGGGATGTATCAACTTCTATCTAGTGAGAACTGGACAGACATCCTCTACGATGCCACGACTTATACATACGAGTACAACACTGCTTGGATCTCGGCGACTTTCCTGGTCCTATGGTTTATCATGGCGAATTTCATTGTCTTGAACATGTTCGTTGCTGTCATCCAGGAGAGCTTTGATGTCTCGGAGGATGAGAAGCGGCTTCAGCAGGTCAAGGCGTTCTTACATCAGAAGCAGGTCAACATGTCCTCCCAGGGAAATCTGTCTCTTTCCAAGATCTTCAAGCTAGGCAGGAATTCCAACCGCTACAAAGACCCTCTCGATCACGGCCCAGCGGCGTTGGAAATGTTGCTCAAGGATGCTGTTGTCCAGGAGTTCCTTGATGAGAATGAAGCACCGGAGAACCGGCAAGGGGATAGCGTGCCACTGGAGACATCGACCACCGCGGAGACCGCCCAACCGGGCCTTTTCTCGCGCATATGGACGAATATTACCACGTCCATCATGCGCCGAGAACCGAATCCCTTTTATTCCAAGCTAGGAATCCCGCGGACGTTTGATGAGCTAGACCCAAAAACTATGGCCAAAGAGTTTGTCTCGGCTGCCGAGCAAAGGAAAAGGGCCCAGCGAGAATACCTCATGCGTCACCCCAATTACAACAAATCCCTCTTCATGTTTGCGCCAAGTCATCCTCTTCGAAGGCTATGCCAGCGCATCGTGGGACCGGGACGTGGAGTCCAGCGCGTGGAAGGTGTCGATCCCTACAAGCCGGTCTGGTATACGTTTTCTGCCTTCATCTATGCGGCCATTGTCGCCATGGTTCTGCTGGCTTGTATAACCACGCCAATCTACCAGCGAAATCACTTCACGTCGAACAGGGACTGGTTCACGTATACTGACATGGGGTTCGCGGTCTTATTCTCCATCGAAGTCATTATCAAGGTTATAGCAGATGGGTTTTTCTGGACCCCGAATGCCTACTTTCGTGGCTCCTGGGGATTTCTCGACGGAGTTGTTTTGATCACGCTTTGGATCAGCGTTGGTGGATCCTTATACGCGGATTGGGGCGTCACTCGGGCTATTGGAGCCTTCAAGGCTCTGAGGGCCCTCAGACTCCTGAATGTCAGCGACAGCGCAAAGAATACTTTCCATTCAGTCATCATTGTTGGAGGATGGAAGGTCATCGCTGTAAGTTCTTTCTCTCATGTCATCCCAAGCAGGCAGAAGCTGATGCGCGGAACAGGCTGCGGCTGTCTCGATGAGCTTTTTGATCCCCTTCGCTATCTATGGTGTCAATCTTTTCGCCGGACGAATGGTACTGTGCAATGATGGCGACATTTCAGGAAGCTTGGACCAATGCATCGGTGAGTACCAGAGCTCGCCTTACAATTGGGATGTCCTCGCTCCGCGAGTAGCAGCCAATCCGTATTATGACTTCGACAACTTCGGGGATTCCCTCTTTATACTGTTTCAGATTGTCTCCCAGGAAGGCTGGATCGACGTGCAGGACAGTGCGATGAGCATTACCGGCGTTGGCGTGCAGCCGCAGGACTACATCGCGCCGGAGAATGGGCTCTTCTTCATTGTCTTCAACTTGCTCGGTGCTGTGTTTGTCCTGACGCTTTTTGTGTCTGTGTTCATGCGCAATTACACCGAAGAGACCGGGGTTGCCTATCTTACTGCTGAGCAGCGATCATGGCTGGAATTGAGGAAGCTTCTCCGGCAGATCTCTCCTTCCAAGCGCTCGCTCGACAAGAAGAGTCGACAGTGGAAGACGTGGTGCTATCGAGTGGCCGTCAAAAAGCACGGCCCTTGGTCAAGATGCGTAACTCTCGTCCTTACACTGCACCTTTTGTTGTTGCTCTTGGAATACTATCCCGAGCCGGAACTCTGGGATAGAATCCGAGGTAAGCTATTCTCTCGAGCTTTGTACCGACTCTATCCTTGCTAATCAATCACCTCTATACAGAGATAACATTTTTCGCTTTCAACCTCGTTTACATTGTGAATGTTGCGATCCGGATGCTTGGCCTAGGCTGGCATCGGTTCAGTCGGAGTTCCTGGGATATCTATTCGTTGCTCTCTGTTTCCGGAACGTTCATCACGACGATTCTAAGGTTCTTGTCGTCCAGCCAGGTGATCAACGAACTCAACAAGCTCTTCCTTGTCTCGATCACTCTCCTTATTATACCCCGAAACAATCAGCTTGACCAGCTTTTCAAGACCGCCGCGGCTAGTCTAACATCAATCGGCAATCTCCTCGCCACCTGGTTTGTCCTCTTCCTTGTGTTCGCGATCGCCATGAACCAAGCGTTTGGCCTTACGAAATTCGGATCGCAAGAAACCAATAACCTTAATTTCCGGGACGTTCCGAAGGCGCTCGTTCTACTCTTCCGGATGAGCGCCGGAGAGGGGTGGAACCAAATCATGGAGGACTATGCCACGATGAATCCTCCGTACTGCACGTATGATGGCCAATTCTTCAAGGATGACTGTGGTAGTGCGCCGTGGGCGCGCTCGCTCTTCATTGCTTGGAACATCATCAGCATGTATCTCTTCGTCTCGCTGTTTACGTCCTTGATCTTTGAGAGCTTTTCCTACGTATACCAGAAGAGCAGTGGGCTCTACGCGATCAGTCGGGAGGATGTGCGCCGATTCAAGCATGCGTGGGCTACATATGACCCGGACGGCACGGGGTATATCACCAAAGAGCAGTTCCCGCGGCTGCTCGGGGAGTTATCGGGAGTGTTCTCGATGCGAATCTACGACGGCGAGTTCACGATCGGGCAGATCATGGAAGAGTGCCGGGTGGACAAGCGGGACTCGCTGATGGCTCATCGAAGAGTGGTCGACGGGCTGGACCTGGATAAAATGACCAAAATTCTTCGACGGATCCCCGTCGACATTGTACGCACGCGCCGGCAACGGCTGAATGCATTCTACGAGGAGGTTCTCGTCTCGGCGGACCCGGTGCGCGGTATTTCGTTCCATTCGTGCCTCATGATCCTGGCGCATTACAATGTGATCAGCGATAGCAAGAGTCTGAGGCTCGAAGAGTTCCTACGAAGACGGGCGCGACTGCAGCGAGTGGAGGAAACCATCCGTCGACAGACGGTGGTCGGGTTCTTCGACACGCTGTACTGGTCTCGCGAATTCCGGCGACGAATCGAGCATAAGAAATCGGCTCGGATGAGTGGCGTGCCCCAGTTCTCGGTCCCCGAGATCTTTGTGGACGATGGATCTCACGACGAGCCCTCGATTACGGAAGGACGGCGTGACAACACACGAGACCCGCTGACCGGGTCCGACCTGTCGCAGCCGATGCTGTCCCCGACGTCGCCAACGGGGAGACCCGCCCGGCCGTATCAGCTTCCCCCCATCGACACCAGTCCACTGGGCCACATTTCCATGTTGCACTCGCCGTCGACGGAATGGTCGAACATCAGCCCCTCGTTGTCGCCCCTTCGGGAGCGGGCCAACACGACGTCGTCCTACGGCAGCGGGCCGGACTTGCACGATGAAATGCAGGCCAGCTCGGCGCATTCGCGGGAGAACAGCACGATGAACGTCAACGATGTGATGCAATCGCTGGGCGAGTCGGCGTGGGGTGAAAGTATCCGGCGCAGCTTTACGCAGCGCCGTCGATCCGGGGAGTAGAAGGATGGTCTGGGAAGTGGATATATGAGCGATGTTGTCACGATCTCCCATTGTCAATGTGAATTATGGAAACGGGGTGTATTCTATTCCTCCCTATCTTTTCTGTTTGTTTTTTACTTTTTGTGTTGTTCTTGGCTGTCTGTTTTCTTTTATGTGTCTACTCGTTTCTTTGTCCCTTTGGGTTGCTCCTGTTTTTGGCGTGTCTTGCTTGCCCCTTCCCCCTGCCTTGTTTTTGCCCAATCTGACCCTGCACTGTCTACTCGTTGCTGGTCGGAGTGATCTGTGCGTGAACGAGTGGAGAGCTGCTTGGGAAGTTCTTTATGTTCTGAGGATACATTAGATCGCTAGAGACTTGATGTTTGCATAGCGGTGGCGTGTGGGAGGAAACCCGCGCCTCGATTGGTTCGGGGCGCATGTTCTGCATGGCCGGTCTGTACAGTTTTTAGCTTGGTGGAGCAGCGATGATTGGTGTGTGAATAGTCACGACGATAGAGATCAACCAAACCAAACCTTGTATGTGGTGACTTATGACGTCGAATCTTGAGAATCTGGGGGCTGGTGGTTACTTGACTGCTTGGCATTGCCGGATTGGGCAACCGTGAGGGCAATGGAAGGGGAGGCCAATAGTCGGTGGCCCTGGCGAGAACACGTAGACCGATGATAGTGGCCAGTGGGTGGGATCGAGTTGATCAGTCGTCGACCGCGGGCGGAAAGAAGGGCGCCGGTGGGTGTGAGAGAGAAATCGGAAACGGAGGGGGGGACTGATGGCCGGATGCAGCAGCAGCGAACGAGGGGCCTGCGTTCGGTCGTTCGTTCCTTCCCTTCCTCGATGCTCCTTGCTGCTGGCTTCTTTTTGTCATTGATGGGCCCTGCCTCGCCTATAAGGATCCTCCCAGCTCGCCGGTCGGGCTGGCTGGACGGTGGCTGCTGCTGGTTCTGTCGCTGCTGCTGCTGTCACGGGCTTCACTCGCCTCTCAGCCATGAGGCCTCATCGTGACTGACGTACTATCATCCCCTCCGTACCTCCTCAGTACCTTCTCAGTACCTCTTCGGTGCCTGTGCCTGATCTTGTCCTCATTGTCGGAGCCATCGGATCGATCTCTGGCTCTTTCGCCGCTTGTCTCCCCACCACAAACCTACCGATCGAGAACCGGCTTCTTCCACGCGGCCTTGACGGAGGCACCTGACCAGTATATAATCCACTATATCTACACTCCAACTTCCTCCCGACTCGCTGCCCCGTTTCCCTCGCCAATCTTTCCCTCGGCTTTGACATCATCACTATTGAGAACAATTCATTCCCCCCCCCCGCCCCTACCGACTCGGTTTCTATTCACTCCCTCTCCCATCTGAGTCGTCATTGATCGCCATTCACCGTCCCTCCATCGCTGTCTCTTGTTCTTTATTTACCCTTGAAATTCGGCCACGATGCGCTCCAATCAACCCTCCTCGCACGGGCTCTCGCTGCACACCTCGTTCCCTTCCGAACGAGCCTGCGCCGCCGACTGTTGCTCCATGTCGATAACCTCCACTACCGCCTCGACGGTCCCTCCCCATCCTCCCGTCGGTCCGTCGTCCTCGTCTACGACACCGACTCCGCTCAGCTCCACTACCGCCAGTCCCACTTCCTCGCCCACTTCGTCGCCCTACCCCTTCCGCCGCTTCCACCACCGCCTCAGTCTCACTCGCGACCCCATCAACCTGAATGGCCACCACCACCACCACTGCCACAACAATACTTCCTCCCCCTCCAGTCGCAGCCAAAGCCCCTTCCGCCTCTCCTACTCGTCCCTCCTCCGTCGTCCCTCGTTGATGCTCCTCCGTCGTCGCCCCTCCAAGGTTGACCTAGCCCTGTGCGAGGAACGGTCTCGATGCGACGAAGACGCCATCGAGCGGCAGGGTCTAGATCTTATGGAGCCGCGCCCGGTGGATCCACTCGGCTTTTCCATGGATAGTATGGACGCCAGTGTCTTCTCGTCCGGCTCGTCGATGGTGGGCGATCGCTCCTCGACACAAAGTTTGTCCGTTGCGCAACCACGCTTCGTCATGGGCGGCATTTTCGAGGTCCTGGAGGGGAGTGGCTAGCCTTGCCGACGAAAATGTCTCTGTTTCTCCCTTGCTTTGCTTTGCCACTTGGGTTTAATAAGGGCTGTTATTCCTGGTGCTTTGCTTTGCTTTGCTTTTCTCGGCTCCCTGGGAGCTAATTACGCTTTGATTTTGATTTATTTGACTTGATCTACCAGGGTGCAATGCTCTCCACCTGGGTTGTTCATGAACTGAGCGAATTGAAATAGGCCGAATACCTGGTTTGGACGGAGTTGGGGTAATGGGCAATGGCGTCTTTAGAGTTGGTTTTCTTTGCCAACATTTTTCTTCTTTTATCTATTTCTTTATCTCTTTGATCAATAAGATTCTTGATTGAATCCCTCCATCCTATTCTACTAATTGACTTATTCATCTTACTTGTCCAGTCTATTCCAGCATTGAATGATTGCCCGATTATGCTAAATACTAGATACACTGAATAAGCACAGAGATAAAATGTGACAGTAGTCGAGTGCAATGGTAACCAATGCAGCCAGTGCCCACCACTCCATAAGACAAAGCATCCGCGCCAGCGCCGACGCATGCAGTGATATTAACGAACTGGGTAAATGCACCGCCGGGGGTATCATGTCGAGTAGAAGAAGCACGAGATGAAAGGAAACAACCTAATCCATCGATAATATGGACTCGAGAAAACTGGAGTAATGCAATGCATAATACGTAACCATTCCCAATGCAATGCAAGAAGAATCAAGGCGTTTTTCTTCTCACGCTATGCTGAACGAACCAACACCCAGGAAATAATGAAGAACACGCCTGCGCCGGTCTTGGTGAAAGCGTAACCAATCAACTGCTCCACGCAATGCAAGTGTATGATAACGTGATGGAAATGAAAGGTGTGGAGATGTGAGATAGAAAATTATCTCATCCCCTTCGTCTTTCGTTGGTTTGGCCAAAGCTGACCGCGGCAGTTACTCTCCCCACAAAGGCATTGCACCGCATTGGGATCGACCTTTTTGACTTCATTCCAGCCGGGGTTATAGTCGAACGTCAATTCCGTCATGGGAGGTACATCCTTGAGAGCAAAAAAGGCAAGGTCGTACAGATACTCGTCTGCGTGGTTCCGAGACACAGGAAACATCCGACAATTTGGGTTACATGAATGGTTCATGAAGCGGGTGGGACCGCCGAATTTGTGGCCATCCACGACATACTTGCTGTCCTCTTCAGCGATAAGGAAATCCAGACTGAAGAGATACGAGTGGGCATTCTGCGAGGTGGCGATGTCTTCACGGATGTCGGCGACTTCCTTGGTGATGGCCTCACCCAGGTAGCAGTCAATGAACTGGCCAGCGCGAATTCGGTCCGGGGAGCGGAGACCTTTTCTTTAGTTAGTACTCAATCAGTTGGAAAGTGACTACCATCAGGTGACATACCAAACCCTCGATTGCCGGTGTTGAAAATCTCCAACCGCACCGTCCGTCCATTCTGCACAACCCGGTTCCAGCACTGCTCATCACACCCACACCGCGAACTACATTCATAGATCATCGCTTTCCGTTTCAGAAACTCGGGGGTCAGAACCAACAATCGTGCATCATCCTCAGCCCGTTTATATGGCACCATTGAATCGTTAGTCTCTTCCTCTTTACTGAGACAAAGGCATCTCGCCGGATCACAGAACCCGGTACAGGAACACCCCGCATTAAATTCCTCGGGCACAGGTGTCACCCCCTGACGGGTCTTGTAAGCGTTTACAAACTCAAAGTTCGCCGCGAATTGCGCCAGCAGATGCTCATCCCCCGGCGCAAACGTCACTGCCGGCCCCTGGATCTTGCCCAGCTTTCGCTGAAGGGTTTGGCGCAGCTGCGCAGTGATGTCTGGCTTGGAAGTGAGGAGAGGTCCGACAGTACCAACTTCAAAGGGAATGTCCGCCCGTCTGACCTTTCGGGCAATCGGGTAGGCACCTTTCACCGCGCGCTTCTCGTAGGCGTCAGTGGGGTAGAATGTCTCCGAGAGCCCAATAGGAGATGGTGCGGATATCAATTCTGCGGCAGCGAGTTCCAATTTCTGGCGTTGAGATGGCGAGGGAATCACTACACTGAGTGAACTGGGGGCGAAGGTTGGACCGGGGCTTGGTGTAGTGTATGAGAAAGACGGTCTCTTGATGAAAATACGTTTTTCATCCTCAGTCGAATCACGATCGCGGTAAAGTTGTCCGGCGGCACTGACACTAAATGGGGAGGGTCGACGTGTGCTCATGACGGGGTGCTGGATGTGCATGGCGTTCTTTGGTCCATCCTGATCGTAGGAGACGTGACGATTCTGGAGTTGCTTAGCGGTGTTGTTCGACTCCTGTGGCTGAGATAACGACCGCTGCAGTGAATGCGGCCGTGGAGCTTGAAACGCCGCGAGCAGTGAATCTACATCTTCAGTTTTCCTCTTCGCTGGTACTGCAGAAGCAATGCGGTGAGTGAGGGTTGTGAGGAAACTGGATCTGTCATGTTGCAATAGGGGGGGAGATGAAGAAGGCTGAAGAGACGGTGCAGCAGGAGCGGGTTGTAGTAGCCCTGCTGGGGAAGGCGCGTACTGAGGTATCAAGTCAGCTGACCATCATAGCAGAATCATAGCACAGGGGTGCTGCAGGAGACCGAGAAGTAATAGATCAAAAAGAAAAAGAAAATGCAAAGCAGAGTGATACAATCACCCCCAATAAAATTAGGGCGACTGGTAATGCAATATGGCGGCTACCTTTTACAACATAGGTACGGAGGTAGATGAAGAGATTAGATGGCGGCGAACCACAAAGATAAAAGAACAGACCCAACAACACGTAGACAGCCTTTCTCTAGGAAAAGACAGGTAAATAGGCACTAACTCACCTCGTCGATTCTGCCCTCCGAATCAGAATCCTGCGTCAGGTCAATGACCATGATAAAAGAGTAACTGGAAAATCAGGCAGATTGAAATAGCAAGGAACTGGCTTATACACCTAATCAGTGCAGGAACGCGCTGGGAACAACATCAAAAGTGTGGTTGCTGAGAAAGAGTAAGAATGCGATCAATCTTAAAGTTAGAAAGGGGACACTAACACTAGACTAACCAATTTAAGAAAATTATTAGTCAGCTGGTTTATAACAAAAACTAAATTGGGTCTTTATATCTTCAATTGTGATTTATATTGAATTATTTCATCTGGATTGAGATTCAGTTTAAACTGCAGTCTGGAGAATTTATAGCAGTACAAGAAGCAAGTCTAATAGTTGAATCTCAGTTATTATATGCTTGTGTTGTTCTGGATTTGATATCAGAGGCGCAGGTGGCGGAGGGAATTCTTATCTGGCCAATAGGAATGCAGCTTGGTGAGATCAACTGAACTGAGAGATATCGCTTAGCAGGGAGTGATAACAGAACGCATGGCAAAACTCATCGAATTAAACCTAAAAAGAGACGCAGACCTATAGAACTATATATTCTAAATCAGATCTAGCAGTTAAAATCTAAATAAACACCTTGGTGGAGACAGGAGAGCGTGTCGAACTTTCTCGATCGATTTGAATGGCAGCTTTGGCGCGATATCCGCGCTGGTGACTAAGCATGTCAAGATGATGTGTTGTTTGTCAGTAGGCTGGATGGCTTAGTTGTCAATAACATTTGACGATTATCTATTTCTTGAAAGGGTTTAATATGAGTACAGTCCAAGTTTCTGGCAGCAACCTAGCATAAAGGATTATACAGGGGATGCGATGGTGCAGACTGCTAAACCATTTCAGTTGTCCCTTCCTACGCCCTATACTTCGGCCCTATAGCGGACCCCTAGCCTCCCTAGCCGAGGACGCCCCCGGCAGCGGATTGCGCTAAGGGGCCAACTGGCTAACTAGTATACCACTAGAATATCGAGGCTTATACAACGCTCTTGAAGGTAAGTTTTGGGCTTCGAGAGATATAGTTGACTGAGACAGTCAGGAACTTTAAGTTCAAGTTGACATTAAATAAGTCAGTGCTCGTAACGAAGTTACGAACCTATGGTTGGATGCTTAGGCAGTAGACTTGATTTATCGTTTGTTGTAGAGAAGAAAGAGACATGTAGGTAAGCTTACTTGTCTGACTGCCTAGCACAGTTAGTAGAACATGCTTTCTTTTCTCTTAATATTCGGTACATAGTAGAAATTAAACTGACTAGTTTTACAGTCACATCCTACCACTCCCTGAATCATGCTTGCGGCGTGAGGGTAATAAGTCGCACTAACTTGTTAACTACATTTAATGTACTGTAATTAAATGGAACTAACTCCATAATATAATGATATCCAATGTGACATTCAACAGCTGAATATCTGAATATCAATCGAAAAGGGAGTTGTTACAACAGTAGTAACATATCCATATTCGGATCCAGAAAGACGTCAGCCTGAATTGCAATCCCAGTTTCCTTGCTCTTGTTGGGTTTCCTTACCACCAAATGACCCCTGGAATAGCTATAGTAAATACTCCATGACAAGATTGAGCAAGCACCAACAACAACACCTAGTAGAATTCATCCACCAGCTGGAACACTTCTACCAAACCTTTAAATTCAAGTTACACTCTGCAGTTTGGTAAAGGAGGCCCTTCAGCACTTTATTTATCTCACAAAAACCCTGTCCGAGCCTTCATGCACCAAGACCCTACAGTATCTCCACAAGCTCACACTGGTAGTAGTAGATGATGGAGTACTCCAGTGTACCTAAGCACTGTCTCATGCCTACTGTCTACTGTCTCCTGTCTACTTGGATCGGTTTATAATCATGACGAGCAATGTGGATGTTGTGTAACTAAGCTCGGAGGCTAGCACGAGCTAGGGTCTGCGTTTAGGGGCTAGTCTTCATGCTATGGACTAAAGGGCTCTGGCTTCTTGTGAATGACAGCCCCATACATGCAAGTAAATGGCCAACGACTCCCATGATGTGCCAAATCCACCGATCTTATCATATGGTGTGGCCTGGATTCTACGTATTGGTAACTCTTCGTAGCCGTTCGGACCAGCACAAGTAGAACTAAAACATAAGGAAACGGCCCAGGACAGTATACAACAGGCCAATAATCACATGAATCAGAAACAACTCACTGAAATCCATGATGCATCCTTGCTCGGTTCTAATGTACACCATGACAAACCGGTACCGGGGACGATGAGCCAGCTCAGGGATAATGCAGACCGAAAGTGGACATAAGAAAGGAAAAACGGAACAAAAGAGACACGTGATGCTCATGCAAATGCTCATGGTTCGAACCGACCGGCCCGAGTAAATGAAACTAAACCCTCGTACAGGCGCACCCCATCCCCCAAAGGCACCTCAAAGTCTTAAGGCGTCTAGAATTTTCTTGGCCATCTCCCGGTATTGCCACATGCCACCGGCAACCTTCTTGAACTGAATACCATGCAGCGAGAATAGCGGCACCTTGACGATCAGAATTTCAAATCGGAGGATCAGGTTCTCGCCCGTATCGCTCTGCACACGGGTTGTGGTCTCGCCCATGACACGTTCGCCCACCACCACATTATCCCGGTGGTCCCGTGAGCCATCATCCTCATCCGAACCTTCGGAGTTGGTCACGAAGCTCTGATCCGGTGGTGCTCGAGTTCGACGTTGGGCCCGAGGCGTGTGGTGCCGTGAATCATCTCGCTCCTCGTGGTTCAGAAACCCTCCAAAGCTGATGCGGCGGCGATGGCCGGACAGGTGTCCCTGGCGGTCTGGGCTCGGAGGCCCGACATCCACGACTTTGTCCAGGTCGATGCTCGGTGCATGACGACAGCTGAAACCTCCCTTGATCTCGACATAGTCCACCGAGAGCTGTTTCAAAACCCGAATGATATCTGCCCGGATGACGGGCAGAGGTTTGCTACTTGTTGTTGAAACGCTGAAGAGGCCTTTGAGGTAGACGGGTTTGGAAAGGTCCTCTCCTTCATTCGCACTTTCCAGTGCCGTGCCTGCGCCTGTTATGTCTGCGTCGGTCTCTTCGGGGACGTTAGCCTCCCGCGTGGCTTCTCGCCTAGCCCTCCGGGCCTGGATGCTCTCCCGACGAGCATGGCCGAGTGACATGGTCCGAGCCGTATGGGTGTGGGTGCGGGTCAATTTAGGCTCTTTCCCGGGGGTGGATTCTTTCTGCACATTCGCATAGTCGGAACCGCTTGTCGGAGGTGGTTGGGCAGCTGCTTCTGCTTCCTGCCTGCGGGCGCGGCGGGCTCGGTAGTCAGCCGAGTTCACACTTGCCGATCTCTCTAAGAACTTATTGGACCGCGAGGCCGGCTCGGCCGATCCTGGAGCTTTGAGAAGATCTTGGTGTTGTGGTTGACTACTCCCCGGGTGGACAGCCGTCGGCGACGGGTCCGCACGTCTGGTTCTCTTGACACTGAAGCCTCTGGATAGAGGAGATGCGGAGTCGGCTGGCGGTTGGACATTCAATGATGGCGTGTGGGGGCTCCCCATTCTGCCACGTTCCGGATCGCGGCTACGCTCCTTGGTTCTCCGTGTGCTGAATCGTCTTAAGATACCCGCTGCGGTGCTCTCTTTCTTCACCGGGGTCTCTGGTTGCGATGCAGGGGGCGCAGGCGAGTGCCCTGTTTGCGGGCCCAGATGAAGGTTTTTAATGTCATCTGCAATATCGTCGTCGCCGTGAGTCCTTGCCCTAGGACGAGATCTTCTTCCAGTGTCCTTCTCTCCGGGCACGTGGTACTGGTTGGTGTGAGCCGCTTCTGGCGCGGGGAGATCTGGCATCTGGAGCATCGAGTCCCCGGCGGCATGTGGAACACCAAGCGCACCAGGGTTCGTCTCGACCCTCTCTCTGTCAAGTTTCTCTTTTACGAGATAGTAGACGGACAGGAGGGGGCTGTAGGCGTTGACCGGATCATTGCCTAATTGAACCGCCTCTGCGGAGGGGGTGGACAACGTGTCTCTGCTAGCCGAATTCCGTCGCTTGTAAAAGTCGAACACTCCGCGCTTTTTCTCAGTGTGGCTGGGAGCGGGTTGTTCGCGGGCCATGGCCTTGACGGCATGCTGGTAATCCTCCGACTCGATGATTTTGGTCAGTTGGGCCGAGATATAGTCCGGCGGCCCAAAATCAAATCCAGTCATTTTTTCAATGACCTCCGGATCCAGGGGAAGTTGTATCGGTTCACGGTATGGGAGGTAGTTGTCCGGTGGTCCGTTGAAGCCTTTGTTCATCCACGGATGATTCATAATCTCCGCCAAACTAGCACGCTGCTTGGGATCAGTCACCAACATGCGCGAAATGATATGACGGCATTCTGGTATTTTAGTATTAGTATTGATTTTCTAGATAATATTGTGGGATCAATGGTATGGGGGCTGAACCAACCTGTTGTGAGCCCTGGTGGGTACTCGAAGACACCTTGCTTGATCTTCGCATGAAGCTTAGGCATACTTTGATCGTCAAATGGCACTTTACCGCAGACCAGGACGTAGAGAACAATTCCAAAACTCCAGACATCCACTTCCGGCCCGGTATATTGCCGAGCCTGAAGCAATTCCGGAGCCGCAAAGTAGAGACTACCACAGAATGTCTTCAGAAGACTCCTCGGCGAGAAAAGATTGCTGAGGCCAAAGTCGATGATCTTGATGTCTCCGGTCTTGCTGATCAGGATATTTTCGATCTTCAAATCCCGATGCACGATGCTATTGCGGTGGCAATAGTCCAACGCACTGGCAATCTGACGGGCAAATTTTCGGGCCTGCTTCTCTTTCAACTTCCCGTGGGAAATAATGTAGTCCAGCATTTGCCCCCCATTGACAAGCTCGAACAGCATATACCAATGGTAATTGGTCCGCACCACGTCCCGCATCCCACAGATGTACGGGTGGTTTACGAGACTGACAATGGCCGCTTCACGGGCAGTTCGGATTTCTTTGGAGCGATCGGCTCTTTCGGCCTCGCGCGAGCTGCGGTGTTCCTCGGTGGACTGCCGGGGTACGATTTTAACGGCCACCTGAACGCAATCAGTGTTCATTCAGGCATCCAAAGGACAGATTGACCACTCACCTGTTCTCCAGTCTCCATGTTCTTTCCCACTTTTACCTTGCCCATACTACCGGCACCCAGCGTTTTGCCCAACGCCCATTGACCCGACGGGGTTGTGATCATCGTGCGACGCTTCGATTGCACCGAGTTAGCCGGATGCAAATGGGCGGCGGCGGCCTGCGAATGTCCTGCAACGCCCTCCGCCATGATGGGCCCCGCAGTAGCCATGTCTATGCTGTCCCGTTGATGGCCTTGCACTGACAGATTCCGGTGGTGTTTATTGGAGGATTGTTCGGTGCGATAGGAGGTGGAGGGGCGCTCCTGGGACCGTTCTCTGGAGGAATTCCGACGGGAAGGCACGGGCTGGGCACCGCGAGAGGCTTCGAGATCGCGACGGGCTATGTTGTCGAACACGGCTTGATTCGACGGAGGGCGGCGGTCATAGGACTGAGACTTGGAGTACGAGTGCGAGTACCGATTCTGGGAGTGATGGGGGTGATGGTGATGTTGCGGAGAGGGCTGGGAGGCAGTCGCGGGTCGGACCGCAACACTTCGGGTTCGGTGAGGAGGATCAGATGAAGGAGGACGATAGGAGGAAGACCGGGAGGAGGTGGACTGGCTGCGGACGACGGAGGGTGACGCAGTGGGAGGAGCAGCCGTGGACATCACGATGGGCACGAAATTAACGACGAGTTCCGAGCCAACCACAATTCAGAGCGCCTCATTCACCCTAAGGCCACTTGCTGATCGAGGGGGGTTTCGCGTGAGGGCGGACGCAGCCCAAGGGGAGGCCAAACGACCGGTCGGGGAGCGAGTGGGGGAGATGGCGTTGGCTGACGGAGCGCTCGAGGGAAGCGACAGCCAGCGTGGATCCGTTCCGGCAGAACGTCTCGACAATCCCCCATGTACGGACGATGAAGCAGGTAAATGGAGCAAAAAAAAGGGGGGAGGAAGACACCACGAGTTGAGAGGAGAAAAAGGAGAGGCGAAGATAAAAAAAGAGCGAAAGGGGTGGGGGGGAATTAGTAGAGAGGAGAGGAATTTGCGATTGCAGAGAGAAATGTGGGAACGGACTGGGTCGAGAGGGAGGGAGGGAAAGAGTCGGGAGGCCGGAGAGGAGGAGCTGAATTGACGCTGGGAGCCTGGGATGCGGCTGCGGAGAAAGACAGAAACCAGACCAGGCCAGGACCGGACAAGCCAGCCAGGAATAGCACCAGAAGAGGGGATAGCGTCGAGACTATCCGATGGGGTTTGACGTTTGGGTCTGGCTGGTGTGTCTTAGCAGGAATGTGTACGGGTGGTGTTGTCTTGGATGTTCACGGGTGGGATGGATGGAAGTGAACTGAGTGTGACAGCCATACTAATAATACTCCTCCTAGGCTCCTCTTCCTCGTTGCGTCTTTTTATATGAACGACTTGCTCGGGTCTCCTGAGAGGGTGGGAAATTATGTCCCATGCGACCTCTCGTATTTGCTGCTGCATGGGTTCTGGTGGGAATCACCAGGGCCTTTGCATCAAGTTACGCAGGGGAAAAGAAATCGCAATTTCCATCCAGCCATTTCCATCCTTCATCGTGAGTTACCTTACTTCATCTTCCCCCATCATCGCTTGCTCCCTTTCCCTTTCCCCGGGGATATGCAGTAGTTGCAGTAGTAGTAGTAGTAGTAGTAGTAGTAGTAGTAGTAGTAGTAGTAGTAGTAGTAGTAGTAGTAGTAGTAGTAGGTCAGAGTAAGCAGTTGCCTCCCCGGCAATTCCCTCGGTCAACCTGCAGGTCGAATGGAGAAGAGCCCTTTGGCCCTGCTGCCAGCCTGCCAGCCTGCCAGGTGGAACGAGAGCCGTTGATACGTCGGACTTTCGGTGTTTTGGGCACGGATGGGCATGATCAGCTGGCCGAGGGGCCTCATCATCACCACTCCGAGGTCCTGACAGTTTCCTGCTGGACGGTCCAAATTAAGTTGGGTCGGATGAGCCCAGATTATCTGCCAAGCACGTTCGGTCGCAGGGACGACATCAGATGCTCGTCTGTTTCCGGGTGGTGGTGTTGGATCTGTCACCCGCCCCGTGGTCCTTGGGATTTGCGGAGCGTCGCCGCGGACCCTCCGAGAACAGCCTGCCCAGAACCATACATACTCACTACGGAGTATGAGAATAAATATATAGTTTCCCCCCCCCCCCAGCCATCCCATCCACGAGCAGCCACCACCAGTCCCGCACGTGGCTGGTTTCTGGACTGCGATCACCCTTCCACCTGGGTACCACTCCCTTGGTCCTTACTCCTCAAATATGTATGATGGAATGAGCTTGTGCAATACACGGGCATCCGCCGACTCCGTTTTCAGCCACAACACAGTGGCGGTGCACGCCAATTGTCTCGACGGCCGCCTTGTCACATGTCTTCCGCCCGACTCCTCCTCTGCCATGCGTCGGCCATTCCTCTAGTTCCGCTCCCTCATCCGTCCGCATTCTCCTTCCTACCCACTAGGACGTTCATTCCCTCATCTTGGCGGTAGATTTCTGTGCGATAGAGGTATGTCCACCTCATGCGCGTAGTTTCGGAATTACAGACACTGATGGTATGCCAACATCAGCACCCGCCATGCTGCGCCCTTGAGTCGCACCTACCGTCATGGCCAGTAAAAGGAACCGTGCCGCCTTCGAGGCGGACCTGCAGGCGCACCAATCCCCCTATGCCTTCTACGGAACCCCCCTGCCTCCGCTCGACGACAGCGTCCGAGACGACGGATCGTACGCCCCAATCTGGAAGCAGGAGGTAACCGATGACCGGGGAAGGAAACGCTTACATGGCGCCTTCACCGGTGGTTTCAGTGCCGGGTGAGCTCACGATTCATGGATCGCGTTGGACAGCACACTAAAGGTGGCCCGTCTTCAGGTACTTCAACACCGTCGGGTCGAAGGAAGGATGGACCCCAGCAACCTTTGTGTCCTCGCGCCAGAACCGCGCCAAGGACGTTCGCCAGCAACGACCGGAAGACTTTATGGATGAGGAGGATGTTCGAGAGGCGGAAGAGGCCAAGAGACTACAGACGACCGATGAGTATTCCGGGTTTGGTTCTACGGATGCCGACCTGGCGCGCCGAAAAGGGTTGATGGACCTTCTGAAAACGAGCGGGGAAACGATGGGGGTGAAGCTTTTGAAGAAGATGGGATGGCGAGAGGGCCAGGGTATCGGGCCTAAGGTGCGACGTAAAGCCAACCTTGGTGAAGGCCCGGGCCAACGCGACGGAGAAGCCGACAAGACATATCTTTTCGCTCCTGAGAACCCACCGATGGTTGCCTTCGTCCACAAAACTGACCACAAAGGACTCGGGTATGAGGGAGAGGCCCGCCTTGATTCCCAACAAGCAAGAGGGAATGAGTCCGACGAGGAGGACGCTGATTCCTTCTTCGGAAAGCGACTAATGGCCCCGGGAAAACCGAAGCAATCCAAGACGAAAGAGCCCCGCCGCGGAGGGTTTGGGGTCGGAGTGTTGAATGATACCGGCTCAGATGATGAGGATCCCTACTCGTTGGGCCCGCAGATATCTTACAACCGAGTCATTGGGGGAGACAAAAAGAAGAAAAAGAAGACGAAACCTACGGAGGATGCGAGATCCCTGACAGGCGCGTCCAATCCTCTCATAAGCAACAAACCGGTATATATCCCGAAAAGAGTTATGGCTGCCAAGGGCTCTGCCGGCTTTCGGAAGTGTACCGATGGCCGCTTGCCTTTGGAGGGATTCTTGCTGGCGGAGGGCATCTCCAGCCTCTCCATATCCTCGCAGGAGAAAAAGTACGCGCCACCGGAGATCCCCAAAGATTGGAAATCTAGCAAAACACCAACAGAGAAGAGAGACGTTTCGAGCTATGTCTCCACGGCAGAGGCAGCCAAAGCTTCTTCCTTGGACCCTACGGCGAGAGCTGCGCTCTTGGGAGAAACCCAACTTCCTGGAAAGTCCATATTCGACTGGATGACGCCCGAGGCTCGGGAAAGGATCATGAAGCTTACGGGGAAGACCGATCTGCCGCCGGCTCTCAGTGAGAAGGCTCCCAAGGGCTACAAGCTCTCCGAGGCGCAGAAGCGGAAGGATTTGTGGGATCTGGTGCCTAAACTGGACAAGCAGGTTGCTGTTCAGGCCCTCACGCGCGCCGCCAGTGGTTGGATGCCGTACGCGGATGACCCGGGCAAGCGGGACCGCTACCGAACGTTCCTCCAAGTACGAGCCGGGCTGAGGGACAGCCTTCCGGACCGGGTGCCCGGGTCCACTACCGATGAATGGGCGGCGGAGCTACATGAGTTCACGCGAGCGGCGGAAGTCTTCAAGCCCATGTCCGGGATCATGGCCTCGCGATTCACCTCTGCGAGTTCTGGGCCCAAGGGGTCGTCCGACAAGCCGGACGGATCGCCCTCTGCCGAAACTCTCCTGAGCAAGCCGGCCGCGAAACCCGAGGACCCCGCAGTGGAGGCTGCTAAGATTGGTATGTTTGGCCCAATGACTCGGAGCAGCCTTTCTTTCTACCCGACGCGGCTGCTCTGCAAACGATTCAATGTTCAGCCCCCCGACCACGTCCAACTGGATCCCGGTGAGCCATCGGGGCGCACCGAAGCCGCAACGCCTGGGGGGCGCTTCCAGTCGGCTGGGTACCAGACCGCTTCTGGGCCCAAGGCATTGGTGTCGCGGGATGTTATGAATCAACTCCTGCTCGAGGCCGGTGGTGGATCTCTTGCGCCTGCCGACTCGGCCTCCCCGACGCATGCGCCCATTGTGGTTGAGCCAGAGCGCAACGAAGCATTGGAGGCGGAGCGGCCGGGTGAGGCGGTGTTCAAAGCGATCTTTGGCAGTGACGATGAAGACGAGGACGAGGAGATAAGCTGATTGATATGGGTTTGGGGGATCTTCTGGCGGATGGGCCGTGGGATCGTGTACAGCTACGCTCTCGTATTTCTGCAGGCAAAGCCAACATTGACCTTGAAACGTAATGATCGTCCGGAATGTCCCACTGCTTCCACGTACCCGACCGCTTAAAGTTTTCTCTAGAAAGAAAAAAGGTAAAAACTAAAAGAAAAGGCTAAAAAAAAAAGGAGGGGATCCACCTGACAATGGCTGCATGCAAGTGCAGTATAAGTAGTAGTTGTTCTATTTTTCTGCTGCGTTGACTTTGGGATGGAAATTGGGACCGTCAGGCCGACCAACTGCGCCTCTTTTGTTCCCTTCCGCTGGGTTAAGGACGGAATCCAAAGCCTCCTTCACCTTCTCCATCTCCCCCCCTCTTTCTCGACCATCAAGGAACGGTCTGGACAGGGGTGACACGACAGGGGAACGGACGGTGAGGATCTCGACCGAGAACAGCGCGAAGAAGAGAGATTAAGGTACGAATGAACCTTGGGCTGATCCCCTCACGTCGGTGCGCCGTCATCGTCATTCTGCCCCCTCACACGCTCCATTATCTATCTCTCCGACTCTCCATCTCCATTCTCTTCATTCTCTCCATTCACGCTCGGTCACCGTCTCTTTCCTCGTCTTCTGCATCGTGGACTGTCAGGCCATTGCGCTGCAGCTCTCCGCATTGCTAGGCGTGGGTTTCCACTGCGTCGGGTCATACGACCGATGGCGAGAACTGGATGGAAGGATTCCTGATCCATGATTGATTGACCCGTTCATTCACCGTCGCTAGGAACGGCTATTAACCATCCCTCTCTAATAAGCTCAGCCCCCCGCCGTCACCTCGAAACCACCACTTCCTTCCCCTCCCCCCTCTCGTTATCGCCTACTGCGGCCCTGCAGTCCTCGCAGTGACCCCCCCGTTTCATCTTGTGCTTGGCCGGCTGTCTTTGGCTGATGGAGCTTGTTTGTCCAAGTCTTCAACATGGTGAGCCTTGGAAACCCCCCTGTTCCCCTGAGTCTTGATTTCTCTTCTTTCCCCCCCCCC